TATATATATATATATATATAGGCATATATAAAATACTGACCAGAATAGCAAGAGCTATATTTAAACTGTATTTATTCTCTGTAATTTTTAAAGTGTATGGAGGGCAATTGATTGTTTCTGAATATATGTGACTTTTCTTTTTTCCCCTTCAAGTCTGATTTTGAGAAGGGATCTAAAAAAACGTTGGTGCCGCAGTAACTCTTCGTGCACTGGTAGTCTTATTCATCTCCTTTAAGAATAATACAGTTTAAGGTGCACGAAGTGTTTATAGATGTAGATTAAACTAATTTTAAAGCATGCCAGTTTAAGGAGATGTTGTTTTTATTGGTATTTCTATGTGGCAGTGAAGATATTAAAATCAAGCAGTTAGTAATCAATAATGACCACTTTTTTACGTGTTCAGAAATTCAGTTTGATTGAAGCTTCTTCAAATAGAGCCTGTAGTCTGATGAGCTCTAGCTGTGTAAAATGAGACTTCTCATGACTCTACAAGAATAATAACATGTAATCTGATGTTAACACCAAAGAAGTCAGCGTCTGAGGTTTTGTTAGGCATTTACATAAAAGACTGTTTCACATAGTTGTAATTCAGAAAATCATGAAGGAGTTTAAGAGTAAGTTCTAGGGAAAAGATTTCCATACTTGACAGATTTCTTAATTTGTGGGAACCTTGTGCTGTACTCTTCACTTGTAACACAAGTTAAAACTTTACGCAAAAAAAACCCCAACAAAATAAAACCCCAAACCCAAACATCCTAACCTTAAATATGGTTATTCTGGCATGAATGATGAACAAAAGGCAAAGTCATGGTCTGTGCTTGCAGCAGCGGTGCTCTCAGGAGCATTTGACTGGTTTCGCAATGCTGAAATTTCTGAAAGTGGATCCGGTCATCTACAGAGATGGTGATCTTAAGCCTACTGACAGATATTTTTCCTTACCTTAGCTGGTTTTCACTTCTACAGGTTTTCCTAGGTCTCGTGTGTGCTGACCCCGTAAGCCAAGAGGTGGAGGCTCTCAACAAATCCTGCCTGTGGTGCGGTGGGGGTGGCTGCGGCTGCAAAATGGAATTGTTTTGAACGTGGCTCAAACAAAATATATTGGGTTAGGAGAGGTTTAGTTTGCTTAAAAAGACTTGCTTCCTGTGGTCATAACTTGAAATTTCCTCGCGGTAACCAATTCCATCTGTCTGTGGTTTTTGTTTCTGCTAATTGTTGTTTTAAGGGGGTGGTTTAGAAGTGCATTGTTTTATTGTCTGCGTCTACAAGCACCAGCCCTTGCCACGAGCACTCGATAAGGACAGAACCAGAAAATCAGTGTCTTTCTGTTCTTGCTGGGCACAGTGTTTGTGGAGGTAGTTGCAACTTATTGAATTTCGATTTCTTAATTAAAATCTTCAATCAGAGGAATGGGGCTTATTTTTCAGGCCAGTAAATGCTGCAATATTTTGGGCCTCCATTATGTGACAGCCTATATATATAGGGGTGTCAGTATGTTAGTAGAAGCTGAAAATTATCCTGCTTAGAAACCCAGAATGGTTTGAGTTGGAAGGGACCTTCAAGACCATCCCATTCTGACCCCGTGCCCTGGGCAGGGACCCCTCCCACCAGAGCAGGTTGCTCCAAGCCCCGTCCAACCTGGCCTTGGGCACTGCCAGGCTGCTTAGTTTCTCTGGGCAACGTGTGCCAGTGCCTCAGCACCCTCACAGAGAATTCCTTCCTAATATCCCATCTAAATCTCTTGAAACTATTCCCCCTCGTCCTAGCCCTACACTCCCTGATCAGGTGTCCCTGCCCATCTTTCCTGTAGCTTGCTCTAAGTGGGCGTACCCATAGGTCTGTGCAAGTTACATCAATTTAAACGATTAAGTGCATTTGATAATAAGCAACCAAGTGAAGAATCTTAAGCACAAGTATCAAGTGCGTTGAGCTAAATGGAAAGTGTTGGAGTGGTCTGCAGAGGTAAGCCAGTGATTGATGTGCCATTAATGTTCTGTAAGCTGGTATTTCTTGATGTAGCTGCCCTTTGTATCGTTTGCTGGTTTAGTCTTGACACTATTGAACAACCCCCTACTCTGCCCAGTTCCTCTCCCAAGACTTGTTTCCTATCAGCTTTACACCAGAAAAGCTAACTAAGACTCTGTCCAGAACGGGATGTTCTGCAGACCTTGCTTGCAGTTTGTTGTAATTTTTTTTAGCAATAGGCTGCTGGCAGACAAATTCTTTGATGGGAAGTAAGTGTGTTTTTTGAAGTACTAGAATAATCACACTAAGTCAATTGTCATCAGAATGTTCAAAGTCACCAAAATCTCAACCAATAAAATTGACCTATATAAAAGATACAAAACTACATTTAAGTCCTTGAAGTATTTCTGGTTCTTTATAACCCTTAAAAGCCCCTTTAATTTAAATTTTCTTCAGGCATTCGTTTAAAAATATTTTATTGTCATTAGAACTACGCACTGGAATATTTTTGCATTAGAGCTGTGAGTGTATTTGAATTATTCACCTAACCAAAATCTAACAAAATGTCAGACTGGCAAGTTCCTTCTGCTATTTGGAATGTAAATCCCCAAGTTTTGATAGAGAAGGTGGGTTTACAATTGCTCTGTTAAATCTTCTTCATAAAGACATGAGGAGGAAATCCTCTTTATGCAAGACGCTTAGAATAAATTTTTGAAAAGTGAGAGGTGAAATAATGGTACTGGAGAAAGAGTCTCTAGCAAGAAAAAAGTTTACTTCAACAACAGGAAGAAACACTTTGCGGTGACTGGATGCTATGAACATTTCCCAAGCTGGAGCCTCTGCTCTTTAATCCTAAGTGAAAGAGCACCCTCTCTTATGATGCTGTCTTACAAGGGATAACGTGCAGGAAAATTCAACTTATCATTGTAGAGAACAGATGATATCCAGCCGTGATGAGCTTATCCTCCTGGTTTGGGGTTTTGTAATTTTTTCCTGGACTCTTAAAATAGGTATAATGATGGAGTTTCCAAACAAATTAGTTTTCCCCAAAATTTCAGAAAGATGCCTTTCCATTGTAACTGCTGCGTAGGTTTGATAGACAGTGTTAGATCGCTAATCCTACTGTTGTCGTTTCAGGTTTGATGGAAATTTTAACACCAACGTTTCTAGAACTATTAGCTGCGATAGACTGTCTACCACTGTCAACAGCAGAGCCTTCAATCCTGGGCGTGACTTAAATTCTGGTAAGTACTATCATTCTTGAGTTCGGTTTTTTCCTTCTGTCGCGGGATTTGGGTTTGTTTTCTTCCACAAGAGTTTAACATTTCCTTGACATAGCGAATTAGCATCGATCGCCATAGCAACGAGGTTTTGATTTCCCCTTGTGACTGTCACACTGCTCTTAATTTGAGATTTTGTGATTGAAAGATGATACCTAAAGTAATGCCCTTAGTCTAAGTACTTTATAAGAATGTCATGAAGATTTTATTCCAGCCTACCGTGGCTAATTCTGTTGTGGTTTATGCAGTTTTTATTTCTCCTTTTTTTTTTTTCTTTTTTTAATCTCTCTCAAGGCGTCAGTGGTGTCAGCTGCTGAAGGGCCCGTGCAAAGAAGTTTCTCTCATCTTCTTAGCTGAGTTCAGCTAATGTGAGGCTGTGTTTGCAGCGATATGCAAAAACTACAAAATATAAGGACATCTGAAAATATTTCCTTGCTTTGTCATGTCAGAGCATTTCCATCTTGACAGTCGGTGCATTTGCTTGACACCCTGAGAGCTAGCAATATGCTTAGAACCAAAATACATGTGACTTATCCCTGAAAAATTCAACTTTGGGTCCTCCAGCGCGGCTAGATTTCCCCTTTTCTTTTTTTTTTTCCATCCTAGTCGACTTGAATTAATACACAGATCTCAGCGGTTTTTTAATCATAGTTTTATCCAACTCTTCTATCTTACTTTTCAACTTTTTATAATGCCTTTGTGTTGTAAATTGGAGAACATTATAGCCTTTGCTTGTGGATTTCATTTAGCGTAAGTCTTGGGGTTTGTTTGTTTGTTGGTATTTTGATTTATTTCTTTTTGTAGGACAAATAACTCCCAACTGTGTCCATCTTAGAGCTTTGCTGTCTGGATTTCTAATGAAATCTAAAAAGGAAAAGTAAAAACCAAAAGGAAAATAAGCAATCCCTGCAGGTTCTTTTCCATCCCATCTGCTGTGCATCACATCTTGAACGCAGGTGCTGGCCAGACAAGCTGATTTCCTGACATACATCTCATCACCATAATTTCTGTGGTGTTTCTCATCCCGAAGAGAGGGAGGCTTTGTTCACTTACCTTGATTTGCTGGGCTTTGTTTTACTCATAAGCTCTTCCTTTATTAAAAATACAAGTAAGAAGAAAAGCAAACAACTTACTCGAATGAAAATAATGTGAAAAATCATGTGCCGTTGTTGATTAGTCCAAATCATTTATGAAAATGAGTTTTCAGGCACTGTGATAAAAATAAAGCATTGAATGAATCACTTAATATTTTTTATTTAAGTGAAAAAAAACCCATGCCTTTTCTACTGCAGAAGATAAAAAATGTATTAAAGAAATATTCCTTCTTGAGTGGTGGAAGGCAAATACACTGTAGTTTCCCTTAAATTTCTGGTTTGAATTCTCACAGAAACAAGGTGAGCCCACGTTCAAGCTTCTTGCAGTCCTGGCTTGACAGTAAGACTTGAGAGTGCCTCCTCTTCCCTTGCCTCCAGCTTGAAAGCTTCCTGATGAAAGGAACATCTTCAAAAAACCAGCATTGGCAGAAAAGGGCAGCCGAGGAGAAGAGGGAATTGGAGTGAGAGTAAGAACAGGGAAGAGCTTCAGGATTTATTGACAGCAGACTCTTCTCCAGCTTTTCTGTTAGCAGCTCTGAGAAACGCAGCCTTTGGGGAGGGATTTTTTTTATGAGGGAGATATTTTTTTATTAGAGAGAAAGTGCCTGTAAGAGAGAAGTGGATTGGGAAGAGCGAATTGATGCAGAAAAGTGAGATGGGAACAAGTTTATTTGAGAAAAAAAAGTTGCTGCTGTGTGCACACCAACTGAAATAGGAAGTTTAGTCCTCACCTCCTTGCGCAAAGTTGTTTGGAAGACTGGGAGATGATGGTTCCCACCTTCCCTTTCCTGGTCCTCAGTTGGGAATGTCTAAACCACGCGAGCTCCATGATCTTGGACATAGAACAGGAGCCTCGTGAGGCTTCAGGGCAGGGTTGCTGCCAGGAGGATCGAGCGAAATAATACTGGTGTGGAGGTGGACATCGCCCATGTCCGAAGCAGTGTCCCAGTATCGCTGCAGAATTATGTGAGATTTGGAAAAAACTAGATGTGGGAAGGTTTAGGGGTGTTTAGGAGTGTTTGTTTTGCGGGTGCTTGTGTAGTCTTGGGCCGTGACCTGTTGTGCCAAAAAACCCCGTCTCTGCCCAAGGGAATTCGTGGCCTAAGACAATAGTTGGCTTGAGAGAGGCTGGGGATATAAACAGTCTGGGAAGCTGTGATGATGGCTGTCAGGTTAGGACTTGTTTTTCAAAGTACTTCCTCAGTGTCATCAGAATCTTGAAACTCTTAATGTTTTCTTTTTTCTATAGTGCCCTAGTTCTGTAAAACCACTTACCGTGGAGGATGTGCTTAAGACAGAGCACTTTGTCTGTGCGGGAGCTGTTTCTGAGTATATCTGCGTGTGTGTATTCGTTAGTCTCAACTGAAACCGCCTGTGAAAGAGGATGAAGATCAAAGAAGAAGGAAGTTCCTGTAATCCCATATTTTTCTTAGTTCTCTTCGAAGTGTCCTTGCGTAGAGCTAGTGAGGAATGCCTCTTGCACTTTGGATTCAGGCTCTGCCTCAGCTCGAGTTATTTTTTCTGCTCTAAAAAGCCTGAGAGTCGTTGGTACATCTGGGTATTTCGATCGTGTTTTTTCCTCTCTTGCCTTGCTTTGCTTGTTTAGACCTAGAGGCAGGATGGGAATCCACAGTTTCCCCATAATCCTGTTGTAGCATCTTTCCCGCTGGATGCAGCTTGGCAGGGTGGACCCCAAGGACATGAAACCCCTCTGCTCCTCCAGCCCAGAAACGGGAGCTTCCGTGCTCTCCTCCAGTTTGCCCACACTTTCCATCAACCAGGTTCCCAAATGGGTTGATCATTTTATTCTTGACATAAAAAAAAAAATTTGCCTATGATCTTAAGGGTCTTTCCCAAATGATTCTACGATCTCTCTTTTCCCGCCCCAGTTTTGCAGTTTAAATAACCCAGCCTGTAAAAAACTCTCAGCAGAACATAAATTTAAACTCTGCTCTCTTTGACCCCAATCTCAGCTCTTGAAATGTTAGTCTTGGCCCGCTCTGCACGCAGCGTAAGAAAGTGGGATCGGAGTGACGAAGCTGTAGGTGTTGGAAGGGAAGGGAATTTGTGCCGAAGGCTCCGGACGAGCCGCGGGAGCACAGCCTGGGAGAGCCCTGGGTGAGGGCAGCAACCTCAGCTTCTAGTCCCAGCGTTGTCTTAAGAAGGGTAAGCGTAGCTTGTGAAACTTTTCAAAAATAAAGGACATTTCTTTGCAGCGTTCTGCTGGATTTTTGTTTATATAAAGAGAAAACAAACATTAATCTTCGGGGAGGGAGAAGAAAGAAGTAGGTGTACTTCTCTTTTCTTGACCCATAAAAAATAATGCTTTCGCCACTTTTTTTCTTGATACCAAGTGCCTTTTTTTTTTTATGTCTTGAAAAGGCTTTGTTTTATCTTGGCTTGAATTTTCCGTTTGGGTTACTTTTAACCATTACTACAAAATAGATAAGGAGAGAGTCTTTACTCTTCAGATGGAACCACAGGCTTCAGTTACATTAAGAGATCCCTCCTCACTGCATTGCACAACAAAATCTCACTTTCTGGACAAGAAAATCCTACCCAGAGGCAGCGCATTATGTTATCAGATTCCTTCTTTTTATTTTTTTGCTTTTTGGATGAACAGTGAGCCAGTAAATCTTTCTTCTTCTCATCCTTCAAAGTGCCAAAATGTCCATTTCAAGTCTGGCAGCTTTAGCAGAGGACTCCTCCCCAGCAATATGCAGAGATGGTACGAAGATGCTCGATAAATTTTGTCTGTCCTTTATTCGAGATGCTGATCATTTAAAAAGTGGAGCGGCTCGATCATGTTCCTTATGTTGCTGTACTTGAAACGAAGGTGAGATAAAATAGCTGAGAGGTATTTGTGCAGCAGAGTTAATACCCTGTTTCCAGATACTTTGAATCGAGGAAGCCAGGCTCATTCCTTAAAATGAAAGGATTTTTTTTACTTCTTTCCTCTTCAGATTTAAAAGAGCTCCCAAGGAGTGAGCTGGGCTCCATCCTGGCTTGTGCCATCCACAGAATTTTAATTGGATTCAAGCTGCAGAGCCTTTTCTTTTGGGTGAAAACACACGAGCCAGAATACAGTTTGACTCAGAAAATCCTGGATCAGATTTGTGGGTCTGGAGAATTAGAGAATGTCTTTACTTGTGAAATAAACACATTCGCTTCCTGCTGTTGTTTCTCGGAGATTGTAAATTATCTTTATGTTGATTATTGTTGATGGAGGTAGTTGTAAGCGAAGAACTGCAGTGTGTGTATTGCACAGAAAATTAAACTTTTCTTTCTCTGCGGGCTGAGAACCGTGAGGTCTGCAGCTCAATCAGTGCAGTGCTAAAGAAGAGGGCTGTAAGAAGCTGTTTTATAGTGGGCAATTATGTTCACTAGTTCCTTTTTTTTTTCCCCTGACTGTTTGTGCTGTTCTTTGAAGATTAATTAGTTAATGATTTGACTACGCTTTGAAGATGTAAAGTGGTATCTAGAAGTGTTAAGTGTTATCATATCACATTCCCTTTGAAGTTTTGTAAACTATCACACAGGACTTTCTGCCTAAAAGTCCTTTTTGCCTTGTGAGATATTTCTAATTAGAGAGAACGATCATTTCAAATACTCTCCTGTCAATACTTTGCATCATTTTCTGTCTACAGCAGAATTTGGGGTCAGATAGCGCTGCATTCTAAGTGGAGGGGATGGAGATTTTGGAGTGACTTGGCAGTGCCAGCTCATGGGCAGCTCCCAGCTGGCCATTTATATCCCCAGTCTGTGTCTGGAATTAAGGGATTCCACTAAAACTTCTCCATTTATAAGAAGGCTTCCTCCAAGTAGCGTGATATCAAGCCTGGGTCTTTCTTTAGTGGTGATGCTTAAGAAAAGCAAAATCTTTGCATGCACTCGATGGCACAAAACACTTTGTAATTGGTATTAGAACAGGGAGATCGGTACCTTCTTCTACTTGCAAAAATCAATTGAACCTGATGAGAAAATTACAAAAAAAATTAAATTATTAATTAAAAATGGGAACCACAGGTCAAGCATATGGAGCCTAGAAAGGGAGTAGCAGTGAGATGCCCTGCACACATTTCTGCTGGTGTAATTTTGACCGATTTAGCCTTTAGCTAAATCACCTTTAAGCAGGTGATTCCTCTTCTAGAATGTGTTTTTGTTGGGGTCTTCTGATTGTGTAACCTGAGGGAGGCGAAAGTTTGGGGTAAGTGAGGCTTTGGGCTGAAAAAAGCGCATCTGCTGAATGTCGTGGCAGAAACAAGGGAATATCTGCAGGGCGTTCTTACAGCTGTAGTGGATGGAAAATGAGAGTGCACTTAAAGAGGGAAAGTACGTATTTTTTCAGCTTATCCACTGTATGTCTACAGTGGTCAAAGGGGGAAGAAAAAAAAGAAAAAAGCGAAGAGTTACGATAAAATTGGTAGTCTCTGGGGAAGGCATGATTGAACTAACATAGTAGCTAAAGGAAAACATGAGCAGAACTTTGTGGGAAGGAGGAACAGCAGAGAGAGGCACCGAGGCTGGAAGGAGTTTGTCTGAGGTTCAAAACCAATTGTTTCATGAGGAAAAGGAACAATTTTAAGTCCAGAAGCTCTGGTGGGGAAATAGATACAAATCATGGCCTTGTGGGAGTGAGAAGTTTATCTTTAATATAGCAATAATTAAAAAAAACCCACAGCTTTTTCATTATAAACTCTTTTTTTTCTTTTTTCCTGAGCAGGAGAGCTTGTATGGGCTGTGAGCACCGATGCTGCATATACATTGTCCAGCTGCCAAACCTCTGAGTTCAGAAATTAATCTGGGTTTTCCTCAGAGAGGAAAAAAGGATGGGTGCTTTGGAGAGGGATGAGGAGAGGAATTTCTGGTAGTCCTAGCTGTAAAAGCTTGAAACTGTGTACATTAGGTTTAGTTTGTTTTTTAATTAGAACTGATACTTTGCCCAGAGTTTTCCATGGTAGTTAAATTTGGCAGTATTTAAAATTTCAGGTTGCTTTGTATCCGTGTTACACAGAAAGCATCACCTGCGACCACAGAAACCTGCTCTTTGTACAAATCGGAAATGGCACTGTGGAACTGATGTCTCATCAGGTGTGGAAAAAAAAAAGGATTTAAGAGGGATTTGGGAGGAACTTGAATAAAGCAAACCGTATTCACAAGTTTCTTTGTCAAGAGCATCACCTGTGCGCAGGCTTTTGCCTCTCAGTTGGAGTTGAATTGGTATTTTTTGGAGAAGGGTGAGAAATAGAGAGATGTGTAGTTGTGATTCATGACTCTGTCATTAATGAACTGGGAAAACGTTCATCAGTCCCTTCATGTCTCATTCTTGTTTCTTCTTCGGTCCATTGAGGCACCGAATTCTTCAAAGCCCCAGTTGTGCAAAGCTGCATCCTTGCACAGAGTGCAGCAGGGAGCAAGCAGGGCTTCCAGTGGAATTTTTAGGTGCTGTGGAAATAAAAAAAAAACCTGCTAAAAAGGGCGAGAGGGAAAACAACCTCAAGATAGTGGTTTTTACAGGGTAATTACGCTGAGCTGAATGCGGAGAGAACATCGTGGCCGCAGCCAGTCTGGGAAACTTGAGTAAGTGCTAAAGTGTTGAGGATGTCGAACTCAGACTATACTCTTGCGGATATTTCGTTGTAGAACGTCTGGCTAAGGTTTGAAATGTGCCCTGCAGTGATTTCCAATCCAAATATTGGCGTGTTTGGTAGTGAAAGAGATCCAGGAGACGAAAGCGTCTGGCCTATTTTCAGGGTCAATCCTAAGGGAAATGTGGAAAGTAAGTGCTCAGCAAAAGGTGAAGCTCTGTGAATCAGAGCTGCGCTCCCCTGGTTCTGGCTGGTTTTATAATCAGAGAACATCAAAGGAGAAATAGCAAGAAAATACATATATTTTTTTAAAAATACATTTTAAGCGATAAGATCTATTTTAACAGTTAGGTAAAAACTAAAGAATTCAAATGTTCAGTTTTTGTTTTCAGTTTGCTGCAAGCAGAGATGGGGATTTGCCCCAAGTGGAATATAGCCCTGTCACTGCCCTGGGGGTGAGAGGGTTCGTGCCTCCTGTGCTAACAACATTCCATTCCCCCTCTCCTTGGAGCAATTCTGCTCTTGTTTGAAGGGTCTCAGCAAGTCTACGGTTGCCTAAAGTCAGTGGCGTGGCAAAGCTGGTGGTTGCTCGGGATGAACTCCGATGCCTTCACCTCTCCAGGCTTGCAGGAGAGCGGTGGAGGTGCACGCTCCGTGTGGGAGCCGGGATGTTTCCATCACGCTATGAGGCAGATCCCCTCAGTCTGCCTGGGGTGATTCAAAGGTGAATGTCCCCACCTGGGCTCAAGACTCAGGATGTCTTCAATATCATGGAATCCTAGAATGGTTTGGGTTGGAAGGGACCTTCAAGACCATCTCCTGCCCTGGGCAGGGACCCCTCCCACCAGCCCAGGTTGCTCCAAGCCCCGTCCAACCTGGCCTTGGGCACTGCCAGGGAGGGGACATCCACAGCTCCTCTGGGCAACCTGGGCCAGGGTCTCACCACCCTCACAGAGAAGAATTTCTTCCTAATACCTAGTCTGAATCTCTCTCCTTCAGTTTGAAACCGTTACCCCTTGTCCTGTCCCTGCACCCTCTGGTCAGGAGTCCCTCCCCAGCGACCCTGCAGCCCCTTCAGGCACGGGGAGGCTGCTCCAAGGTCTCCCCTTCCGGAGCCTTCTCTGCTCCAGGCTCAACAGCCCCAGCTCTCAGCCTGTCCTCACAGGGGAGGTGCTCCAGCCCCCTGATCATCCTTGCCCGCCTCTGGACCCGCTCCAACAGCTCCACGTTCCTCTTATACTGGGCGCCTAAGAGCTGGACACAGAACTGTAGGTGGGTTCTGTACCCTCTGGTGGTTCAGGCTGGTATATTAAATATCTTTATAACTCATTAGTGCAGATGGATTTGGCCCTGATGTAGCTGGTTTTGGTTGTTAGTTTTGACGGTGGTTTGTGGTTTTACTAATGTCGTCAGTTTTATTAGTATTGGTAAGCTGCAGCTTTTGAATTGCTTTTGTTGTTCGTGTTAAGTAGTGCTTCTTTAGAAATTAATTGAATAGGAAAGCAAGCACATTTTAAAGAGAGTGAACATGGAATACAAACTACAGGAGGGCTGGAGATCTGTACCCTATGGTTGTATTCTGAGTTCAGTTCCTGCTTGACTACACCTCATTTATCTTCTTTCTTCTTCGTTTTTTGTCCATGCACTGAGTAACTAATAATCGCCTGCCATGGAGGAGTTTCTCAGAGTGTAAGGAACATGTGTGTTTGGGTTTTTTTAACATTAGGAGATTTTTCTTTATGAAAACTATGTGAACAAAGTATTTATCGTTATGTGTAAATGTATGTATGCGTATTATGTATAATTGCCTTAATCTCTTCCCTCCTTGCTCCTCCCTTGGCTTCTTGGGACCCAGCGATACTTCAGAGATTCAGGAGTTGTCATCACATATTAAACAAAATCTGTCAAACCCAGTGTCAAGTTTCCAAAAGGCATTAGCTGTCTGCAAATCAGACATGAAGCTCTATCAATCCTCCAGCAGAGCTACTTGTATTTCATGCTGGGACCCTGGTTATTCTTCTCCAAGCGCGTACGAGAGAGGCCTTGAGTAAACATCCCTCCAAGTTTGACCTCCCTTTGTAACTCTACTTCATTTTTCATTTCTCCTCTCCAACCTTCAGTTCTTGCTGATAATCTGAAGTCTAACCCAGGAATTAAATGGCAGTATTTCAGCTCAGAAGAAGGGATTTTCACCGTTTTCCCAGCCCACAAGTTCCGGTGCAAAGGCAGCTACGAACACCGCAGCAGGTACGATTCGTCTCCTTATGATTTACTGGGCAGAGCACTCAAACTGGCTTCCTCAAGCACTGATTTCCTTTCAGCATTACGCTTTGCCAAGATGACAACATTCGAGAGTTACTTTTAAACGGTGTCCTGTGGGTTTTCTCAGGTTTATTTTTTAAAGCACCAATTTTCACTTTTAAGAAACTTCAAGGTAAAATAAAATTGCATGCAGGTTCCTCGCCTCTCCCAAATCAAATCAACTTCTAAATAACAGCAACTTGTAAATTGTAGGTCAGCTCACAGGCAAAATTTGACTTGTATTTGACTCATACTTGACCCTTGTTAACAAAATAGTGAACACATATTCTGCTTATTTGGCAGTTGTGTGGCTTTGAGATGGGCAGCAGAAAGGGATTAGGAGAAAGGTTGGACTCGATGATCTTGAAGGTCTCTTCCAGCCAAAACTGTTCTGTGATTCTATGCTTCTCAGGCAAGAGACTGGAAAGGGCATAGCTAGGAGCATTTTTCCAGTCTCCACCCAAGGTTCAAGTGGCACGTCGTGGACGGTAGGGAAGCAGCATAAATAAGCGAAGAAAGAAGAGTTTTCCTGCACAGAGGAATGTTTCTGTTCCACAGGTGTGAAGCAAAGCAGTTGTGGTATTTTTCCCCTGGCTTTTGCTGTCTGTGCTGCAGGACTGATAAAACCTCAGGGGCAGCATCTTCTAAGAAAGCATCTCTGTCTGGCTTTAGTATCTCTGGTCAGACATGAGCTCATTGTACCGGTCAGTTGGTCTGTGTGGAGGAAGCATCGGCACATCCAGGTGCGTTTCCACGTAGCTGAGTGTGCAGAGACTAAGAAGGGTTTTGGTTGCCTGTCAGCCCTGAGCAGCCAAGTGTTTACAGATGTTATCTTCTGTGCGTCATCAAAGCGTGAAGCGTCTGGGCTTGAGCGAATTTTCTGTGGTCTTGGAGAGGTGCGGTCTGAAGGCGTGAGAGCTGGAGGTACCCCAGCTTGATCAGAATTTGGACACGAAAACCATTGGTGGCTTCATCTGCATCACTTAGTCGGGTCATAGCTTCTCCGTGGCTAAATAAGGAATATCTTTTTTTGCTGATATTTACTTCAGAGGGTAGTTTACATGGATTAATTAGTTAATACTTTGAAGATCAAAGGCCCTGTTTAAGTTCTAGGTATTAACATCAGGGTAGAGCTGCAGGCTGTTTTACAATTAAGATGTGATTTGTGTTATTGCAGGGCCTTCCCTAAAGTCTTCTGCTTTTCCTTTACTCTTAATAAGATTTCTGTGGCTACTTTTGATACAATAAAATTTAGATCCCAAAACTCACACTTGACACTAGTTTTGGGTCTGGCCTAAAGAGGAAAGAGAATCCCATCTTCTTTTAAGATCCCTTCTCCTCGCTGAAGATCTTCCTAATTTGTTCCAGGTTGGAACCTTGGCGTTAGAGCTTGTGAAGACTTTCACGCATCTCTCATGGTGTCAAACTGGATTTGAGCACTGCTTCACTGAAAATAGGGTTGTTTTTTTTTTGGTGTTAGTACCAACAGACACCAAGAGCCTTCACCAGAGCTGACTCAAATTGGCCACAGGGTTTAAAACTGCGCAGACCTGAGGGGTTGTGGAGCCGGATCCGTGTGAAATGCGTCCCAGGGCACTGAGAGAAAATCCTTTTCTTGGCCAGAAGCCTTCCCTTATTACAATAACCCAAACATCCTATGCTAATGCAACTCTGCACAATCACACAGGTTTTTACTTGTCATGTAACAGGCAAACACCCAGTGTTGCATTTAATTTTCCGTGTGAGTAAGGTTCCCGGCACTCAACATTTATCATGAGGCATTTCTTGCTTTTCAGTGCTTAATCCAAAACTTAGTGTGAGCTGCTGCAAACAGTAATCCCAAACGCTGCTGCTACATCAGCAAAAGCCCAGCTGTGACAGAGGGAGTAGGGTTCAACACCTGATTGGGGTTAAAAAAATCAAAAAGAGAGTGAAAGCGAGCGCCTTTTCTGTGTGTTCAGGTTCTCACTTTATCTTTCCTAGTAGAAGTTTTGGTAAAGGCAAAAATCCCTGTTGTAATCTGTTGTTTCTTTGTGGAGTATTTTGTTTTTCATAGAATCCTAGAATGTCCCAGGTTGGAAGGGACCTTAGAGATCATCTCACCCAAGCTCCTTAACCAGCCCAGGTTGCTCCAGGTTCGTCCAGCCTGGCCTTGAACCATCTCCAGGGAGGGGCCAGCCACAGCCTCTCTGGGCTAGTACCCTCATACTAAAGAATTTCTTCCTAAGAACCAATCTAAACCCCTTCTCCTTCAATTTAAATCCATCTCCCCTTGTCCTATCGCTGAACACTCTTGTAAATCTTTTTAATCTCGACTGTTTTCACTTGTAAATGTTTCAGTGGGAATTACAGGATGACTCACGCCCCTGGTTTGGGTTTTGTTCTTCTTCAGGCCCGTCTATGTTTCTACTGTTCGACCTCAGTCCAAGCATATCGTTGTCATCGTGGACCACGGGGCTTCGGTCACGGAGACGCAGCTTCAGATCGCCAAAGATGCGGCTCAGGTTATTCTGAGCTCCATAGACGAACACGATAAGGTAAGCTCTCTCCAAGCACTGAGCGTGTTTCCATTGATTTCAGCCATGCTCAGTGTTTCCAGTTTTCATCCCAAGTGATGTTTTTAACTTGTGGTCCCTGGACTCACGAGGATCTGTGGTCTACCTCTAATGGGTGATGAAGACTTGAGCTCGCCTTTGGAAGCCTGTATTACTAACTGTTTGGAGACCCACAGGCTGAAAAACAAGTGAAAAACCACAGATATAAAGCAAAATCTTGTTCCTCAGTGCCCTTTAAAGGCTCCTTCATCTTGGCAGAGACTCGAGGAGATGGTTGGCAGTGTGATACAGTGTGCAATTAGGAGAACCGTGCTCCGAGCCTGACGACCTCTGAAGTGCTAGAATGCTTTGAGCAACTTGTTTTACCTCTGAGGCTGTCTTTTTTTTTATTTTTTAGCTTGTGAAAATGGAAATGATTTATTCTGCTGCTGTTCTGGGTAAGCTGAAATGTAATTAGCATTTGGAAGATTCCCAGACAGCCAGCAAGGAAAGGAGAAAGCAAAGGGCCAAGAAATCTGGATTTTATTTCTTGCTTTGCCAAAGATACTCTGCTTGATGATGAGAAAGTCACTTAACCTGTGATTTAATTTATTTTTTTTTTTTTAAAGTATGAATTATAACCAGGGGCTCATAAGGTGCTTCTCTAGGGACCACAAGCAGTCCACAGTTTGATCTTTTAGTAATTTTCTGCTAGTGGAACCTTGACCATTCATTCTGCTTTTTTTCTTTTTTTTTTTTTTTTAGGTTTTTTTTTTTGGCAGAGTTTCATTCAAATCAAGTTGAGCAAAAACCAGTTATAATCTTTACCTTAAGTCTTCTCATTAGTAGTACAGGAGAAACCCTTCTAACTTCTGTGCTTTTAGAGAGTTTGAATACTGTAAAATAATGCTTTTAGTTTAGCAGAATAAATGTGTCAAAGGTATTCGTTTTAACGTAGACCTATAACGATGAAAATCCATTCAAGACGTTACTTGGTCAGTGGCTCAGTGGTTACGAAACCTGTTATACGGGTATTTAATTACCGCTTAATTCTGTGACTGTCTTGCATCAGTCATAATACATAATAAAATATGCCACTCATTTAATAAGTTATGTTATGTGTATATTAATGCAAGTGTTACCACTGCGTGCCTTAACTTATTTACAGGATTAAAAATGATGGTAGATTCGGCTTACTTTGGTTGCTAAAGCAACCTTAATGCTTCGCCTGCGAGAAGTTCTTAGAGGTTTGGGGTTTTTTTCCATTTTCTGTGTGCGCTCCACTTTTCTGCAGGCACTCAAGGCTTTCCTGAAAACGCTCTCTGCTGATTTTATTTTCAGTTATCTCCAGTTCACTCAGCCTTCTGCCCAGAACAGCGCAGTAACTGTTATGTAGGAGCAGAGTGAAGCTGACTCTTTGAGAAACAAAGGCTGAAGTCTCTTTTTCTCGAAATCACCCTAAGTCTAATCCTTTTCAGATTTGACGGATTTATGCCTTGACGGTTTATTTTTAAACAATCGCATTTTAAATCCACGGAATCTCTTCAGTTTGCTTATCGTTGTGTTTTCTATATTTTTCTATAGAATTATAAATGGGAAGGTAATCCAATATAGTTTCTTCTCTTTCAAGATCTCTGTGTTAACCGTGGCAGACACAGTAAGAACCTGCTCGCTGGATCAGTGCTATAAGACGTTTCTGTCTCCTGCCACTAGCGAGACAAAAAGGAAGATGTCCACCTTCGTTAGCAGTATAAAGTCATCCGACAGCTCGACGCAGCATGCGGTGGGATTTCAAAAGGCTTTCCAGCTGATACGAAATACAAACAATGGCACGAAACTCCAAGGAAGTAAGTCCCTCGTTGTGCAATCCTGGTTATTTCTGACGCTGGCAAATGGTTTCTTACTTGAGATTCTCACTCACACTTATTTGAGATTCTCGCTGACTGAGGCCAAAGGAGTGTAGTATCTTGAATATTTAAAAAACAAACCAAATAACAAACACATAAAACCGAACAAAATCCCTAAACCCCCCACATTTTTATTAACCAGCATTTACTTCATGTGGGATGTGCATGTGCGACTATTGAATATTCTCCTTTAATTTATTTCACTTGCTGTCTTTCTTTTGAAGTGCAATATGAAGTTGTGGTATTGAATTGCCCGATAGCTGAATTTTTTCCCAAATGTGCACGAGGGCCTCTTCTTCATGAAGATTCCTGTTGCTGCAAGTTCCTGGAGTTATTGCTAAAAGAGAAGGGTAGATGTTGCCTTGAAGGACGTGGTTTGGTGGTGTTGACAGGGCTAGGAAAAGGTTGGACTTGATGATCTTGAAGGTCTCTTCCAACCAAAATTGTTCAATGATCCTAACACACAGGAACGGATAATCCACCTAGTTGGAATCCTGTGGAAGTGACACTTGTTTTTTTGAGAATACCAGTTTTGGGTGATACTTTATGGAACATGAGGTTGGCCTGGGTAAATTTCCCTTAATCTAAGAATTTGCTCCTGAATTTTGGTGCCTGTGTAACAGGTTTTCTCCTTCCTGTTCCCAAGAGTTGGGGGGGGTTTGTGCGTGTTTTTTTGCAATCAGGTTGTGGCACATTGCCTTGCCAGAAAGCTGTGGAGAGCGAATTCCCAAAGCTGTTGAAGACAAGTAGTGTCTCTACCGTGGCAAGGTGGAGAAAGGAGACCCCTTTCTGTCGGTTTAGTCGATTTGCATCACAGAAATTCAGCCAATCTCTGAACTTTAGGCCACAGGTACCAGTGAAACATTTATCTGACCATACAAAAAATAAGGGTTGCATCCTCTGGCGAAATGATGAAGAAGGTGCAACTTCGTAGAAAATAAAAATTAATAAAATAATCCAGCATTGCTGAAGCTTGGCTGGGATAAGATGTGTTAGTTATTCCAAGAATATCAGCTGAATTCTCGCCTCCTCCTCCATTTCTGTTTGGCGTTGTTCATACGTTAGGATTAGAATGTTTTGGAATGTTTTGGCATATTGTTCAATAATGTAAAAACACATACTTTTGCTAGGTTTCATACCAATTGTTTGGGGGCACAAGTAGGGAAGGTTAAGAAGAGAAGGCAAATGCTTTGGATTTAGGTTTTCTCAAAGTGTGAAAGGTTTAAGAGACAGCGAATTTCAGAGTTGACAGGGTGAGAAACAGTCAGTCCGAGAAGAGGATGTTTAGAAAATGTGTCTCATTTTGTTGTTGTAAATAATCTTTTCATCTTTTTAAAAAGGAAAAATAACCATCGGGGAAAACCAAAATAATCATTCATTTCACTGTTAATTTTCTAACATCCTGCTCGTGGAGAACAATGTGCGGGTGTGTCGGGGAAGCTGGTGAGATACTTCCTCGCTCCCAGATTCGCCCTGGAAATGTTAGAGGGGAATTGCTGGCATGGGGTGGAAGATTTGTGCCGTTGAACAGCGATGGAATGACAAGATGCCCTGTTTAGCTCTGGTCCCTAATGCAGCCTTAGGATTGTCTTCTATTACTCCTGCTAGCAAAGCTTTTAAACTGCAGCATCGTATAGGTTCTATACAACTGTATTATACTGGCTGCAGTATCTAATAGCTGTGCTATAGCCAAGGAAACACAGGAACAATTTTCTTTAAACTGCAACCAAAGCTGTATCAGCACTTGATTGGGTTTTTTTTATTCCCCAAAAAAAGACAAAAACATGAGCTAGAAATTCACCACAGATTAAGAGCTTCTCTTACTTGTTCATATCAAAAGGCCAATTCTGGCTGAAATTCTTTCCAAGTCACGAGGCGAAAATGTGTGAATCAGAGCATTCATACCTGTTTACAAAGAAATACAGCAAAACCACAAAGAAAACCCAGATGAGACAACAAAGTTGGCCTGTAACCAACCTCATGAGCTTCAGATTGTGTGGTGGCGTAGGATCCCTGCAAGTATCTTAATTTTGTGTATAAAATACTGTTAAGACTGAGGTAGAGTATGGTGAGACAGGTTGGTGTGTAAGCAACAATTTGAATTTACGTATTCAAAGGCTTCTGGGTGGCTGGTAGGCACCAAATCCCGCAGGTGGTTGTTAAATGCAGTGAAAGGGGGTTTAATAACAAAGGATAGAATTGGTAAGACTGCGGCTTGTGAACGTCACCGACGAGGCTGTTGGCAATATATGGATGTAAGCAAGGGTAAGGACTCTTCCCAGATGACTTCCCGGAGTTAAAATTCTACTGCACTTTCTGCTTTACATATATGTAATTCTTTTTAGATACAGATATGGTCATAATTTATCTCTCGGCTGGGATTACATCGAAAGATTCCTCGGAAGATGATAAAAAAGCCACTCTGCGCGTCATCAATGAAGAAAACAGTTTCCTCAATAACTCAGTAATGATTCTTACTTACGCGCTGATGAATGGTGAGAAATGGTTTTGTGTTTCCAGCGGGTGAAAACTCCCGTTCATTGTACAGCTAGTTTATTAAGCTCGCCCAAATGTAATTTTACACCCTATTGCGAGCAGGTCGTTAATGGATTTCAGCCCGTGTAACCCGGAGGCTGCATCCAGATGTTACTTCTTTGGTGTACGAAACATAATCAGGATATAGAGTATTGCTGCCTGAATTGTCTGGTGGCAACCAGACTGAATTAAATTTGATAACTGTTGCAACTGTAAACCTTCCCGAGACTGCCCGTGAGTCCTGGTGCCGCAGAATGAGAGTGTATATGTGGCTTCAGTGTCGTCATTAGCAAAGAAGCATGAATGTAACGTTAAACCTAACCTGAAATGCTTTGGTAACTTGGGACAACTTAAGAGAGAAGTTAAATAAGATCACACACAGAGTATTTTTTTGACATCCTGTGCTTTTTCCAAGAAAGCATTTTCAGTCAGAAAGCTGTGTGTTTTATTCCTTAAAATTGCACTCGGGCTCTAGCCAAGGAAATCAAGGCTTAAGCTAATGTGTCACATGATTGTGAATTTAAATACTCATTTGAGATCTCGTATGTACAAAAGTCTTTGATTGTCTGCGGGAATTGAGCCTGGGCCTTGTGTAAAACTTTAATGTTGAAGCTAAAGAACAAAGGCTGTTATCTCCAAGGGTGCGTAATACGCTCCAGGTCTTTTACGTAGACTAGCCACCGGTGGAGAACAAAGAGCTGTCCTGTGGATTTATGGGTCACGCAAGTCTTTGTTTAAAGGGCTTTGCTTAAAGTGGTGATGCGAACAGCACGTTCAATTTTTGCACCAGGCAACAGGATATGAGAGGCGATCTTAGTTGGTTTTGTACTAGCTCGTTGCTTTTCCTAAACCCACAGTAGGCTTTCAGCACTTCACCCAGATCACTTAAAGAAGCCCGTAGGATAGTCAGTCTTGCAGTAGAGCTTGCGTCTTCTTTTGCTTTTGTTTACAGTCCTTTGAAGCGAGATGCAGGAGTCTTGATGGAAATTAAGCTTCTTTTCATCCTTCCTTCTATTTCTTGCGTCTCTGTTTCAGAGGGAGTGACGGGTTTGAAGGAACTGGCCTTTCTGCGAGACCTGGCAGAGCAGAACTCGGTGAAGTACGGGGTACCCGACCGAACAGCCCTCCCTGTGATTAAGGGCAGCATGATGGTCCTCAACCAGCTGAGTAACCTGGAAACTACGGTTGGCCGATTCTACACAAACCTCCCCAACAGAATGATCGACGAGGCAGTCTTTAGTCTGCCTTTCTCAGATGAAATGGGAGATGGTAAGTGCTTGCCTTGAATTTAGGCATAAAAACATTAGAGATTAGGTTCCCTTTGCTTATGTATTCGCAAATATACTGTAGTCTCGCAAGGCGATGCTTTTAGGCATATCCCCAAGGCAAATAGAAAATTAGAGTTTCATGTCCATAGGGTTTCTTTATCTGCAGAAGGTATAGTTAGGAAAAAACTGGTAATAAAACATGGAGTAGGTAGATTTAGGTTTGATTCTCCAAGGTGAAATTTGTTCTTACAGATGTGTACGTATACAGCATTCATAATTTCTGGAGAGAAATTTTTGTCCTTAGGGGATGCAGTCTTGTCGGGTTGAAATGACAGGCATCACCCTGCTGCATCGGTGCGTTCCTCCTTTCAGTACTTCTGCGGGTCTCAACGTCTTGCAGGTAGGCTCAGGGGATTGCATAGATCCCCACAGTGGGGAAAAAAAAAATTATTATCCTTTGAGCCTCCCTTTCCTGTGGAGCCACGGACATGGCTTTTGAGTCCCTGTTCAGAGAGTTGCCTAATTTATGCTGACGCGGTGGGAAGACGCATGAATCTTCCCTTTTACCTTAAAACTAGATGCCCTGTTGACAAAACCAGTGTGTGGAGTCCCAAAACAAATGTAAGAGTGTTTCCGAGCAAATCTCTTCTGAGTCAGAATGTTTGCCTCTTTCTGCATTTCCCAGCCACCTTGATAATGAAGCTGTATTATTACTCCCTCTCACAAAGCCATCTCCAAGCGTAATGGAAAATTTGAGCAACGGAAGGATTAGAAATGGTGCAATAGGGAAGATTTGTCTCATGGAAACGTCAAGGCGTGCTTAAAAGCTTATAAATGCAAATGAATTTTATATTGGTTTGAAGGAAGAGTCGCTGAATTTCTAAATAGTGGTGTAGAAACAAAGAGAAATAAGGTCTTACTGAGAGTTCTTACCTCAGGCACAAGATGCAGCCACTGGGTAATTGTGGGTGTGATTCCCAGTCCATACTGGGATTTAGTTAAGCAGGGGAAGTTTGTTATTTTGAATATAAAATTAGATGAGCAATAATTTGTGCCTGTTGTTGCTTTACGAGCACAAGTTCTCTTCCTCCTCCCTCTAGTGCTTAAATTGCTCTAAATGACACTGAAAGAACAAAATGCTTTCTTGACTTTTTGCACACATGCATTTCTTGCCTGTGTGCCCCCCACTTGTAGGCAGACAAAAACCCCAAAATGTTAATTGTGGTGTGTATTTTAGTAAATTGATTAAACATACCTTAGGTCTCTATCAGAAACATAAAAATTAACTAATTGGGAATCACAACAGCCAAACATGACAGATCAGCCTCCCTGTGGGCCTGCCAATTTTTGTCCATATTCCAGCAAGGAATTCTATATCAAATCTAACTCTGTGGCTTTTTGAAATGGTGAAACGCATGTGCTGTTCCCTCTAAAAATAATTAAGTAGATATTATTGCTGATAGTTTTATGTTATTTCTCTCATTCTAAGGCTTGATAATGACTGTGAGTAAACCATGTTACTTTGGAAACCTGCTGCTGGGGATCGTCGGAGTAGATGTTAACCTCGCGTATATCTTGGAAGACGTTACCTATTACCAAGACTCCTTGGGTTCTTACACTTTCCTCATTGACAATAAAGGTAAGGTTTTGGTTCAGACAATCTCTTTAGTCCCGCTGAGGTCATCAGAAGGAAACTATTAATTCTCATGTCTCTAAATAGTCCGTAAATAGTGGATGATAATATTTATTAAAAGATTAACCATGTGTTGTTGGATTTGTTTTGCCTGAGAGTTGCCAGAGACTTGAAATGTCAGTACTAGAGTTTTGATGTGGGAATGTTCACTTGTCACTGAGATTTTCTACACGTCTAACATCCGAGGTGTTTTAGAAGTGCAGGGCAAAAGACAAACCCGCTTTCTGTGTGCGTGTCCAGCTCTTTTCCCCGCATCCCAGCCTCTTTATTTGCTTGGTTCTTCACCCTGGCTACCATTTGTGACTTACCAAGTTCTTCGTTTGCAACTTCTTTGATGATAATAATGCTTGTTCGTGTTTGTTAAGCCTTCGTAAAAACTGGATGTAGTTCCTGTATTGTTTATTTTCTGTAAATGTTCATGCTGGACTTGGTGCATTCACATACGGTGCATTCACATACGGTGCATTCACATACAGTGCATTCACTGTCTTTATTTTTTAGGGTACACTCTTATGCACCCATCTCTGACGAGGCCCTACCTGCTGTCGGAACCACCGCTTCACACAGATATTATCCACTATGAGAACATTCCTAAATTTGAGCTGGTGCGCCAGAACATCCTCAGGTAAGGAATGGGGATGCAAATCCAAACATTATCAGTCCTCGGGGTACTGGGAGTTTTTCTAGAGTTTTAAAAGAGTAAAAAGTAAAGTTCTTTTTCGTCCGGCACCTGGATACTCAGGTGGATTTATCTCCCCCAAATACAGAACAGTTCTGATTTGGTTTTTTCCTCCAGCTTCCTTCGTTTTGTTGTTTGGTGTGCTAAGCAGTGGTCTCCACAACTGATCTGGGGGATAATCTTATTAGCATCTCTCTTCCAGTTCAGGAAGATTTTCAGAGTATGTGTTTTAACTCAAAAGTGGTGGTACTCAAGTGGATTTTCAGCACGCATTCACTTTTTCTTCACCTACGACAAATAGCAGTTAATCTCTTCATCTTTTGTAGTATTTTTATCAATGTACAGTAGGTGGATTTTGCTTAAGAGCTTTCTCAGTGTTTAGTAAAATACTCTATGTTATATTTGCCAATGTAGCATTCCCCTGGGCAGCCAGATCATTACGGTTCCAGTGAACTCCTCACTCTCTTGGCATGTCAACAAACTGAGGGAAGTTGGAAAAGAAGCCTACAATGTCAGCTACGCCTGGAAAATGGTAAGGAATAAAAGTGACGTTTTATGGGGTGCCGTAGAGTAAGTTCATTTACTGAAGAGCACATTAATGCAGTGGAAACAGTGAAGCGTGAAATATTGCTCTGTACTGGAGTTTGAAAAGTTTGAAGGACTCAGAAACTGCATGGATGTGGAATATTTTTTTGTTACGATGAAAACCCAGCGACATTACCATTTTGGGTTTGTTACCACGTCATCTTCAGAGAGGTCTCTGTCTGGACACGTGTGTGCTCTTTCCTCATGAAGGCCCTCATTTCATAAGATACATGTAAAGCACGGCTGAGTTGAGATTATACTCATGCTTTCCTAATAGAAGGAAATCTCTACTGGTCTGGATGTCGTTCTTCAAGCCAGGTGACACGCAAATACCTACCAGCGACGGTGGTGCTGAGGCAGAGTTTGCATCGAGTTGTTCTTTCTCTTCATCCTGTTGTTCTGTTTGGAGCAGAGCGGTGTGATGTAGTCATTAATACACTTGGGAAAATGTCACCTTCTCCTTGTGATACTGTCTTGTTGCAGAACTGTGTCAGTAGCCAGCGATGGTGCTTGCTGTAATTTAATATTTTTCTTAGAAACATGAGTTATATTAAAGCTTTCGTTGAAACTGAATGCGCCATGTGTGCAACAGGCTTTATTACCAGCTGCAAGAACTTGAAGACAGCTGCTAGAAGCTCTCTTACTTTCTTCACTTTTGAACGTATCTAAACACTGATCTTGACCCAGGGATTAAAATGGAATCAAAGGTTAAATATAATCCAGGTGAAGAAATAATTGGCTACTTCTTTGTGCCAGTGAACTCAAGAGGGTACTCGTGGATCATTTCACATTATTAAGTTGAATTCAACCGAAAAGATGAAGCTGAGCAGTTTTAAGAGATTAAATCTGTCATTGGGTAACAGAAATTCACATAGGAGAGTGCCTGAAGCTAATTTTCTAATGTTGTAATGCTGCATTAAATATCAGACACCCTTGCAGAGCAGCTGGGTAAGTCCAGGTTTTGCTAGTCTGCTGTACTATAGGACACTTAAAATATACAAACCAGTAAAGCATGTGACACATGCAGTGCACCATTAAGAGTGATGATGATAAAATCTTATTTTCGAGAGTTAATATGTCTGCATTCTTCATCAAGGCAATACCGGTGTGTGCTCACCAGCTGTGAACCTGAAGGCTCTCTCCTGTTAATGGCACTTTAAAAAGTCTTCCCGGAACAGCGTCAGAAATTACCACTAACTGAGCAACAGAATGAAGGTCTTAACATAATCTCTTTTCCTGAAAATTGAGTATTTTTATTTAGTGCGTAGACTACAGAAAAGTATTTTTCATGCAGCTTAGTGGCTCCAGTACATGTGTGCTGGTGGTGGACTGGAACGTGGCTGTATGGGACTGAGGTGCAGTGATCAGACTGACTCTGTCCTACATGGAGACCAAGGTGGCTTGGGCACAGTCATCCTCACTGTTTTCTGTAGGATCGAGTCCCTGTTGGCTTCTTCAGAAAGAAATTGTGTGTTTTCAGAGAGATTGAGGACTGTCATCCCTGAGAGTGAATACCGAATAGAAAATAAGTTCTGCAACTCCTCCACCTCTTTGTTTCTTTTTTGATGACGTACCCGTGTTTTTTCAGGTCCAGGACACATCCTTTATTCTGTGTGTCGTCGTAATACAGCCAGAAATACCTGTTAAACAGCTGAAGAATCTCAACACGGTCCCCAGCAGCAAGCTCCTGTATCATCGACTGGATCTGCTGGGCCAGCCCAACGCCTGCCTGCACTTCAAGCAGCTGGCCACCTTAGGTAAAGCTTTCTCGCAGGTCATCTTGACCCACCTCGTGGTCATGGCCCTCGTGGGGCCGTAACCACCTCGTGTAAAATCCTCTAGAGATAAATGCACTGCAAGTTTTGTTCAATTAAGTTCCCTGGAAGAGGAGTGAGGACAGTGTGAGACATCTCCCTGAGGTCAACAAGAAGTTCTGTTCTCTTGGCTGTAAAGCAGCTTATTGACCAATTAGGGGGATGAAGTCCCGTCCAGTTGCACAGGGCTGCTGTCCTTTTGACTTTGGATTTTTGCAAGTTTTTTGCTGCCGTAAGCATTTAATACCCTCGATCTATGTGAAGTCAGAAGTTAAGCCTGTTGGGGGGAGACTGAGAACTTCAGTGGTGTGATGGTTTCCAGACCCTCCTTTACCTGCTTAAAAATTCTCGGGTTATTGATGCATTGCTGCTTTTTGTAAGCTAAACTGGTTCTACTCTACCTGACTAATTTCAGTAGTTGCTCAAACATTACTGGAAAGAGGGAGAGTCTCCGTGGCAGCACAACTTTCAGAGTCTGGAAGGGATAGAGAACTTAAAAAAACCCATAATATATCCCAAGAACATAGAGGTTCATTCTATGTAAGCATCGTAAGGCACAAGCTTTTCATATTTAAATATTAATCTTGGGGGGTTTTGCTGAAATGTGTACTGTATCATAAGAAGTTCTGAATTAAGTGCTTTTGTTTGAAGGTCTCGTGGTGGATTAGTGAGGCAGTTTTGATATTTTCTTAGCTACATTGTAGTTCCACAAATAACTAAGTGAGATTAGACTGGAGGAGTTATGGAAGAAGTTGACAAACCTATGGAAATTGCTTCTCTCATTGTTTAAAATACAGGGTGCTTTTTTTCTTTCTTTTATGTGATGCCTAGACTTGATTATCTTATATCCAGGAAGACAAGATATAAATGGAAAATATCAAAAAAACGCAATACTAAGCTGACAAGTGGAAAAACTTCGTGCAAAGCAAAATGCACTTGCATCAGAGTATTTTGTCTGGGAAGCAGATGAAGAACTCTAATAGAAGTGCCTGAGTGATGAGTGCAGTACATATGGTTGCTGGCTGTGTGTTGATGTTTTTTTAGAGGAATGTGAATAAAAGCAGAACGCTTCACATACTCCAGTGATATTTTTCCTCTGGAGACCATTACGCACAGGGAAATCGGGTTCCATGGGTCAAATATTCAGAAAAGATGTTCTTCTCAGCCTTCAGCGGTGTCATAGTAGTTTTTCTTTTTAAAGAGAATAAGCTGTCTGGTATTGGAGTTTTAGCACAAGGAAAGTTTGCTTTCTAGTCTGTTGTGAAAATCGCCCCCGACAGCTACGTGTTCATTAGTCAGAAGGTGCTGGTTTTCTCTGCCATATCCAACCTAAACTTGGGGGATTCATTCCTTTAGCCCAAAATCTTTTCGTAAGGGATAAGTAGTAATTCAGAAATCATTTAGACTTTGAGAACAAGGGCACTGGAGTCCACCAAATAGCACACAGAGGTCAGAGTGAGCAGTGTAACTTTGTGGCTTCCGAGTTTCGAAGGGAGAAAGGTGATTCGTGTGCAGCCTAGGTTTTGTCAGTGCCTGGGGAGGCAAGCCATGCTCTGGTTTGGGTGGAAAACTTCGCGTTGCCTGCTCTTGCTCACAGTCCACCCATGACCTGAATTGTGGGTGAGTGGAGGATAGCCTGTGGTGGTAGGAATGTACTTCCTACGCACTATTTGCAATTCGTTGTCCTTAACTTCCTCCCATTTTGCTCTTTTTAGAAAGCCCTACGGTGATGCTCTCTGCAGGCAGCTTCTCTTCTCCTTACGAACATCTCAGCCAGCCCGAGACGAAGCGGATGGTGGAGCATTACACGGCGTACCTCAGCGACAACACGCGCCTCATTGCCAATCCTGGCCTCAAGGTACGGCCTCGGGCAGCCCCGAGGACCCTGGTTTCCTTCCTCCAGGAGGGAAGAACCTGAGACATTGACCTCCTGACGCTCCCAGGGCTGTGGAGGGGTGGTTCGGAGAGGTAGTCCCCTGCCTGGAGAAGTGGTAGGTTGGACTATCAAGAGAGGTCATCCTCCCCCTTTTACTCTTTCCTTGTGAGACCCCACGTCCAACACTGCGTCCATTTCTGGTGTCCCAACCATAAGAGGGACGTGGATCTGTTGGAGCGTGTTCAGAGGAGGCCACAAAGATGATCCAGGGGCTGGAGCACCTCTGCTATGAGGACAGGCTGCGGGAGCTGGGATTGTTCAGTCTTGAAAAGAGAAGACTTTGGGGGGACCTAATAGCTGCCTTCCAGTACCTGAAGGGAACCTACAGGAAGGCTGGGGAGGGACTTTTTACAAGAGTGTCCAGCGATAGGACAAGGGGAAATGGGTTTAAGGTGGAGGAGAATAGATTTAGATTGGACCTTAGGAAGAAATTCTTCAGTACGAGGGTGGCAAGACTTTGGAATAAATTGCCCAGAGATGGTGTGGCTGCCCCCTCCCTGGAGGTGTTCAAGGCCAGGTTGGACGGAGCCTTGAGTAGCCTGATCTAGTTGAGAGGCATCCCTGCCCTTGACAGGGAGGTTGGACTAGATGATCTCTAAGGTCCCTTCCAGCCCAGGCCATTCTAGGATTCTATGATTCTATGACTAAATGATCTCTAGAGGTGTCCCTTCCAATCCTGAACATTCTGTGATTCTATGGTCATGAGCTGCAGGGCTCAGAAGAGTAAAGGGAGTGGGCTTCCTCCCCAGGAGGGTGGGAAAAACTCGACAAGCAGCTATTGAAATAAACACCAGAAAAATTAAAGCTACGGTAAAATCTTAGCAGAAGTATCTTTGTGCTCTTAGACATATAAACGAGACTTTTCTATCTGTGTGCACAAGCAGAGCACTATTTATGTTTACGTGAAGTACAAAAACCAAATTTGAAAAGCAGCAGAGGTACCAACGACAGTATTTCACTCTGATAAGCTTTCCCTTCACTTGGAATGTGCTGGTGGATCCGTCTGGTGCGAGAAGCCTTGAAACAAGTAATTGAGTTTAGATGATCTGCGATTGCTCTTTAGGAAACCCCGCGAGCTGCTTATTATCTTTTTTCGTGCAAGCCTTAGAGGAACCCTGCCAGGTCCGCCTTTTGTTTTGCAGTTCTCTGTCAGAAATGAAGTAATGGCTACCAGTCACGTCACAGATGAATGGATGACACAAATGGAAATGAGCAGCCTGAACAGTTACATTGTGCGCCGTTACATAGCAACCCCCAATGGGGTGCTCCGAATTTACCCCGGTTCCCTCATGGACAAAGCATTTGATCCCACCAGGAGACAATGGTGAGTTTTTAAGGTCCTGTTACCAAAGCTTTGGGTAATCTTAGAGGGCAAAAAGGAAAATATTTGGTATAAATCTCACAGTCTGTTTCTTTTTTTTTTTGTGGCCAGCTATAAACTATTTAACCAGAAATATTTTCAGCATGGATTAAAGGTTTGGTGCTTAAATACAGCCAGGTAAAAAAACTATATTGATTCTAATTTCCAGCCCTTTTTAAGGGACAGTTTGTGTTTCCTATCCCTGCTATGGCAGATGGGACTATAAATATTCAGAAAGTGAGCATCCCCTTTAGGGATTAGTTAATTCAGGAGCGTTTTCAGCTCCTTGTACCATTTCTGGTTGTTAATATTTTAAGCCTTCTTATTTGTTTGTTTACAGCACATTTCATTGCTAATTTAAAGTAGGAGTTTGCTGGCTCGACTGCACCCTGTTAATTATGCACTATTATCCAGTTTGGGAAAATATTTGTGTATTTGTGATGCTGGGAAAGGCACGAGCCAGCGGCTCCAGCTGTACAGGGAAGGCTCTGAATTGCTCCTGGCATTGGCCGTGCTTTAGCGCTCCTGACTCCCATGTGTGTTGCCTGAAAAATAACATTACTATAGCTACTAATTAGCTTTTTTTTCTTCAGGTTTTCTTCTTTTTTTGTTGCCATTTATGTTTTTGCTGGCTGATAAGATGGTGGAATTTTGCCCTCTTTTTTTTTTTTTTTTTTTTGTAGTGAGGATGCATCCCTGTTGTAAATTAACCGAGTGGACTTTTACAACCCCTCATCTCCGCTTTAAAAGCTCTCAAATTATTTTCATTATTAGTTTTGGGAGGGTTTGGGGATTTGCGTTTTGGTTGTGGGGTTTTTTTTGCTTTTACACTCCACTGGTTTAAAAAGCCTCCATATGCAGCATGCCACAGTGTCTTGGTTTTTATGTAAAGCCAAATGGCAATGTTTTGGAAAGAAGGTGCAAGCAAAGCACTACTCATAAAGTAGAATTCAGTCGCTTGCACAGTGCAGTCCAGACTCTTGGGTTACTAACCGGGACAGGGGGTAGTAAAGTAATAGATTTTTCATACACACCAGTGTTTCCAACAGTTAGAATGTTTTCTAAACTTTCTCATGGTAGTAGGAAGACGTTTGACAAGGTTGTGGCTCATTTTATGTTGGCAGTAAGTTTAAAAAGAGGCCGTGACTCGTAATCGCTCCCTGACAGCTTTCCAGATTTTCACATGGGAGTTTGCCTGTAGGGCGTCCTTCCTCCTACCGTTGCAACGAGATCATTTTGCCAGTGTTTGCTTGGAGTTCGAGCTTCGGTGGGCACTAGGTCATATGTCATTTTGAGAAAAAATGTCTACAAGGACATTGAATGTGTTCCATGCAAAAGTAAACTGAGCTGGTTTTATGCAGTTGTAAATAGTGAGGAAGCATTTATTGAGCAAGTCCGTTTTAGGCCTGGATCTTCATCATACTCGGGTACTTGTTTAATAATAAGAAATGTTAATTTGGTAGCGCATTGTTCGCTGTGTGCAGAGTTCAATGCTTGTCTGTGTTTCTGCAAAACCAAGGAGACTGTCTTATTTCACTGATTATGAGTGTTCTTTTGGCTGCTCTTAGGTACTTGCACGCCGTGGCTAATCCAGGACTAATTACCTTCACTGGTCCTTACCTGGATGTCGGAGGGGCTGGCTACGTCGTTACGATCAGTCACACAGTCCATTCCTCCAGGTAAGTTGTGTTTGAAGTGTTTGTGTCAAGCAAGAACACTCTGAATTGTCAAGATGTGCTTTGGGTAGGAGAGAAATACGCTGAGCGACCCCTGCGTGTTCAAGAGCTAAAAACCCAACCTGGTTTTAAAGTGCTTTTGATGAAATGTAATATAGCCTTGTGTAGGTGCAGTGCCAATAATATATGGAAATAATGTGAAAAATCCGTTTTATACGAATAGGTTTATATTCTGTAGCTCTGTCGATGTCGGCATTATAACAGCATATAGAAGAAAGGAGTGATTGGTGAAAATGTGCTCCTGGATGAACATGGGATGTCACATGTGCAGGGTGAGGAGCTGGGAGGAGGAGAGGGATCACTTTCCTGAGGCAGTTGGGACATGTTCTCTCTCTGCCGCTAGTCAAATACCTTCTCATCAAGGCTGCTAATCTCTCCATTTCCTGAAGTTACTCATGCTTAACACTTCTGAAGTCGTGTGTAGCGGGGTGATGTTTGGAAGGGAATAAGAGGTGAAAGCAGAGCCCCCTAACTGCAAATAGAGGTCAATCCACAGGGCTGTTTTAATGAAAAAAAGTTAGGAGAGCTCCTTGCCTGAGCTGTTTTTATTCAGCACTTGTGCACAGGGGCTTGCAGGAGTTAGAAGAACTTGAGGCGCAGCCTGTAAACCTTCATCTGCCCTTCCAGGATTGTAGAAAACAAATCAGTGGAAAAGGCAGCCCTTGGGATAGAAACCAAAATGACCTTCATAGCCACGTAGAAAGAAGTGTTTTCTTTATTAATTAGCCTTTTATGGCTTACATTAGAATTTCCCCTTTCCTTTTTGTATCTTTGTTCAAAGTCGATGGAGAAGATCTCAGTGTTTCATTTATTCTCAGTGCAGTCCATGTTACCACCAGAAGCGGATTGAGTCTCCCTATGAACATCTTGGCAGTGCTGGGATGACCCTTGCCTCGAGAACCAGACATTTTTGTTTCAGCTGCCTCCTGGCCAGGCCCCCAGCCTAAGGCTGAGATTTGATTTGAGAGGTGGGCTGTTTAAAGGAGGTCAGTTTATGGAATATGTACTAAACCTTTCTGGCATAAGCTCTCTCATTTTTTGGAAATGGTAGTTACTCGTCTTGTTTTCCACATGTAGTTTCTTCCAAGGCTTTCACTTCATCTAAGACCTCACCACTACAAAGGTAACTTCTCGCACCACGCTGGTAAATCCAGCTCACAGAGCCCAGGATGCTACTTTTCTCATCTTCTCAGAGACATCTCGGCTTTGTTTGGGATTTCCCACCCCAGGACATCTGCCTGTCCTTTTTGGCAGGAGTATTAGGAGGCCTGATGCCTGCGTGGTGCTTCTCAAAGAGGAATTTACTTAAGGGAAAGAAGCACTTTTGTAAGAAGAGAAGTGCAATTAATCAAAATTCTGATTTTTATCTAGTAAGCGCCGGTTCAGCTTGAAGAACTTCAAGCTTGTGTGGGTTATTAGAACATGATTAAAGAACACTTAAACAAAGTTTGGCAGATGTGAGTGTGATTCCTGGGTAAATATGACCGCTAAAGCTTACAATCACATGCGGTTATAATCCCTAAAGAGGTCTTAGTTTAAAAGAAAACGAACAGAGGGGTGGGGGTGGAATCAGTAGAGTTACCAGGCATGCTCACGCTAGAAACTGCTGTGTGGGTTTAAATAACATTTAGTTCATTTGGAACTGACACTTACCTCTCCTTCACATTTTATATCTACTTTTTCTTGGAAGCTGGGACTAGATCTGTGCAAGAAGTTGTTGAAGTTGCACCAGCAGCCCAAAAGGTTTTAATCCTTAAAAACGAAGCTAAAACGGTTACAGCAAAATTAAATGTATCTCTGCTGCTTCACTGTCATCCTTTTTCCCATTCCTTCTCCATGAAATGGGTAAAGATAAAAAATAAATGTGGTGCAAGTTTTTACAATCTGTATTTATAAACGGGCAGGTTAGATTTGACTGCGTCTTCACTGTCCCTCTTTAGAAGTGAACGAGCTTTTCGGGTCCCTTCCAGCCTAGGCCATTCTATGATTCTGCGATTCAGCCCAGTAAGCAGTTGGGTTTACGTGGATCGGCGGTTGCCAGCAGCATCTACTTTGTGTTGTCCAGCCGTGCCATTATCTTCTTTTTCTAAACATTTGTATTGCGAGCCTCAGAGATAAAATTGTTTAGAAAAGTAGATTTTAAAAAGTCATGTCAGAGGTATCTCCTTTGTCGTCAGCAGAAGGCCTGCACAGGTGCAAAATAGAGATTTGAGGATGAGCTGGTCATTCTGTGTCCCTCGGGGGCAAGAGGTGACTTGGTCTGGCCGTGCCATCGCAGCGCTGCTGGGAGTGAACCTGGAAAACTGGGGTGATGGAAGTGTAGGAGTGACGGGCGCTGCTCAGAACCCTCGGGCTGCTGCAGACCACCTCTGAACATAATCATTTTCATAACCTGCTGTAAGAAATACTAGTTATTTTCCTGTGGTATTCTATTAGAAGGCTTTTGGTCCAGACCCTCGCTGCTCTGTTGCCCAGCTGCCCAGCGGGGATTTGTGCCTTAGCTCAAGCGTGTCGCGTCACGGCTTTGCGCATCTGAGTGGTTCTCCTGAGGGGAAGGTGGGAATTTGCCAGGACAGGAAGTGTGGGGAAAAATAGCAACAGAAGTAGAATATAATTTCTGTTTGGAGCTTTCAGCATCCAGGCGGTCGTAGTCAAATGTCAAGACTGTGCTTCTGCCAGGAGAGCTCTTGCAGTTGCTTCACTGATGGTGAGGAAAGTTAAACCGATCAGCTTGAGCCAAAGTAGCACATTTTTGCCTTTACAGAGGTGTAAGAAAATAACACTTCCATACCTCAGCCTGAGACTGTTTGGTCGGTCTTTGATATATCGGTTGCCATGGCAACTGTGTATATTCCTGCACTGGTGGGTAAAAATAGGAACACCAGCACGTTTTCTGTATGGGTGAAATATTACAATTCACAGCAGCTCTTGCTGCAAGGTAACCTCATGTGTGTTGGTACCTTGGCCAGCTTGTTGGCTGTTTTCTTGGCTGAAATTCATAATCACTCTTTGGAATTTTAGGGATTTAGCAAAAGGTCTGTGGTGGCTTCTTGTTCAGGTCCTAATGCTGGGCACTGAGCCAAGAGGAGTGGGGTGGAACTTAAACCCCTTCCCAGAGGCAGTGGGTGCTAGAAATGCAGGAGCTGCATCCTGTGATTTGTACACGTGGGGAATTTTGACCCCTAATTGATGTTGCTAAACATTAAATCCATGTAGGTGGCAGAGGCGTGCGTATGAGCTGAGGAAGAGCAGCCCATGGGGAGAAGGGTCGTTTCTGTGATCAGTCCTGGGCTGTCTCCTGGGTCCTCCACGTTCTGCTTGCAACTGAGGTGCAATTTATGTGGAGAGGCTTGAGGATTTGCAGCAAATAACAAATGTTAAGACGCTATTCTCTCCATTTACAGCTGCTGTGGTTGTTCATTTAAACACGAGCAGGGTGAACTGAGCTTCAGCGTGGAGCTGTAGATTTGAGCTGGTTATTTATACGCCTGGGAAACCAGTCCCCTTTTTCAAGTAGTGAACTGAGTAATTAAGATATTAATTATTAATACAGTCATCAAAGCCTTCTTCCTTTTTTTTTTTTTCCCTCCTCTCTTGGCAGTGCCCAGATGTCTTCAGGACACTCGGTGGCAGTGATGGGCATTGACTTCACCCTGCGATACTTCTACAAAGTTCTCATGGACCTGCTGCCGGTTTGTAACCAAGACGGAGGAAACAAAATAAGGTGAGTCCTCCGTTCCACAGAATAAACATCTAACCCCTTTCTTCTTTCTTTCTTTTTTTTCCCTTTAACTAGATGACCCAGAGATACTTTCCAACTTAGCTTATTCTAGGATTCCGTTCCTTTCAGTCTGTGCTCTCTGGTTGCCACTGCAATTCATGCTCATTCTTCTCATAAAGATTATGTGGACTTTTCTGGTATTCGAGATCAAACTGTCATCCACTAAGTAAACAGCCCGCAGGAATACAAAACCAGAAGATAACTGATTTTTTTCTTTGGTTATATTTAGCTGTCACTGAAATCCTGGGAAAAAAAATCCATTTTTTATTAAATGAACACACTTTCAATTCTCTTCTGTTTGTTTTCCTTTTGCCGATTTAGTTACTGTGAGCATGTAATAATGATGTATTATCTCTAGGTATTTTGACTATGATTATTAAAAAGCACTTTTGTGACATTTTTCTCAGAAATACGCAGCACAGCACTAGTCAGAAGAAGTCTGATTTCATCTGAAGTATCTAATTTTGTTCAGATCTATATGTGTCCTAGTTTGTTCCTCTGCCCTTTTTCTGAAAAATCCCTTGTGGGGATCAGGGCTCAACTCTGGTTTGGATCTGGAGTCACTTGATAACACAGTTTGGGCATTGTTGTTTTGTCTTTGTTTTCAAACCTTAAATTAGGGAAGGGAAGTGGTTTTCTGTCATCCTCCCAGTTCTTCTCTGGTTTGCTTTGGGTATTTTTTATGTACCTTATGGTGTACAGAAAAACCCACCATGATTTCTGGTTTGGCATTCCTTCCCCTTCCGGTTAAAAACTATTAACAATCAACGGGATGGGATGATTTATTCTGTTTCTACATTCCCTAAGTGAGGAATTCCAGGCATATTGTTGAATACTTTGTTAGAGCATTTTAAAATAAAGCTGGTTCCAGTGCTCACGGCCTCTGTGTAAATGCACTCAGCTACAGAGACAACTACTCTGACTACCTGGCAGACGTTTGGGGTTTTTAATGCATCTCCCTAAGCTAACTTTCCCTCTGGGGTAATCACAAGCCTCCTCATTCTCACGTTTCCTATATTCCTTCAGAATAAAGAGAAAACTCAGCATCATGAGATGAATTTCTAATGCAGAAGCCAAACAGTTTGGGGCAGTAAAAAAACCCAGAAAACGCAACTAAAGGTTTTCCTGACCCCTTTGTATACCTGAAGCGCACAGTCCCATCTATTTGGCGCTGCTCGCTTTAGATAAGATCTCCTCTCCCCCTCCACGAGCCGATGTAGGCAGAGCTTTACGCAGGAGACTGCCATGGGAATCGCAGACGTTAAAGCCTCCCGAAGCATCCGCCAGCCCCAGGCACGCGCCCGGGGCGGCTCAGCCGAAGCCCTGCTGCGTCAGGAGACGAAGCTGCTGCCCCGCTGAGCCCCTTGGGAGCGTTGAGCGGCCGCAATGACCTCCTCCCATCTACCTTCTGCAGCCGCCAGTTCTCTTGGTCTTGGCTCAGGCTGTGCCATCCCCGGTGCCGCTCGCTCCTCCGCAATCCCCAGCGCGGCCGTCGGCAGCTATGGAAACGGGAGATGCCGAAAACGCGATGGATTAAAAAACCTCATGGCACGCCAGCTTCTAGAGAGAGGCACAGATCCAACCTCGCTTCCCTGAGATCACACGGGGAGACTAATGGGAAGAGCTCTGCAAAGAGAGAGGAAGGGTTGGGAAGGCTGAGAATGAAACGAGGGTGATTTATCTCCCCATTAAAATTGAATTCTAAAGCGGGAGGGCATTAAAGGAGAGTGTGAAATCTCCGTTTAATTAGTAACGTAGTAGCTTAATAAACCATTAAAGCTCTCCAAGTCCGTTATGCTTCATTTATTTCTGGACCTTCCCCAGTCAGACAAGACAACGCTCAGCTCTCCTTTCTGTCTCTAATCAGTTCCATTTTCAAATCCTTGATGGTCCAGGCTTGCCATAACAGTTACATATTTAAAAGCTTCAGGGAAATACATTCTTTAAAGACATTTTGCAGTGAATTTGTTTAACGACCCTGTTGTTTTAATAAATGGAAACCTCTAAAAATTCTTCCTCGGGTTGCAAATGACAGTTCGTGTTTTATTTAATTCTGGTTCTCTAAAGCCCAGAGAGGTCTAACGGGGAAGCTTTTCGTTTTGTTTGTTGTGGGCAGGTGCTTTATCATGGAGGACAGAGGGTACCTCGTGGCACACCCGACCCTCATTGATCCCAAAGGACACGCGCCGGTGGAGCAGCAGCACATCACACACAAGGTCTGGCTCCTTTTTCCTACCTTGTCTAATTTCTGAGGTGGTTAAGAACTGCGGAGAAGCTGCTGCTTGCGTCTGTTTTCCAAGGCATAAAATCCTCCATTTCTCACTTAGGAGCCTCTGGTAGCAAATGACATTCTGAACCACCCAAATTTTGTCAAGAAAAATCTCTGCAACAGCTTCAGCGACAGAACAGTTCAGCGGTTTTATAAATTTAATACCAGCTTAGTGGTAAGCCTGGTTTTCTATTTTGTTTTGCTTTTGGATGTACGTTGGTTGGGTTGGGTTTCTTCTGGTGGGAACACAAACCCTTGCCAGAGTCAGCAGACGAGGCTGGGAGCCAGCCTTCCGTGTGGCTTGGCCTCTGCTCCCCCTCTCCAAACACAAACTCAGCGACGGGCACTGCGCAAACCCTGCTCGCACGAGGAGTCGCTTGACATACAAGGGATGCCAGATGTGATCGCTGGCCAGCTGTGGTTGGCATCTGCAAAGTCTCATCCAGCATCACAAAAATAGGAGCCGTTCTCTGCCGATAGGCGAGGTCTTTCCAGCAGCAGTTGTGATTTTTTGTTTTGTGCTTCGGATCCTCTGACCTGAGCTCTGGCTTCCAACTCTGACCAGTGTCACGATCTCCTGTGACATGGATAGCAAAGCTCTCTGCTACCTTGGCTTTTAGTATCCAAATAAATGCATTTACAGATGCAGTGTGCATGGTTCACACAGTATCATTTGTCTGACTGCATCCTTTGGAAAACCTTACTGCTCTGTGGTCCCTGTGGGTCATGTGTGACCTTCGTGAAGCTCAGCTGTGCAGAGAGGTCTAAGCCAGGGGCTGATCACTGCAGAATTGTTCAAACGATGTTAAGCTCTGTGGAAGAAGCTGCTCTTTAAATAATACTTTTCAGTTATTACCATGAGGAGAACGTGGGAAACGACCATCAGAAATATTTGAAAGTTATGTTGATTTATGTCAGATAAGCTTAAGTGTTTTTCCCCATGCTCGAAATGCAAAGTAGGAAGTGTTTTAGTTTAAAGGAAATGGCATAGGACAGAGCAGAAACTTGAGATTGAGGCACACAAGTAGGAATCAGGAGTCTGCCTACCGAACCGATCACAGCCGCACGGTGCTGCGGTGTGTATTTTATAGCACACCTGCCAGGAGTTTTTCAACAAGTTCTGATGGGGAGGCACCTTGCAGAGGTCACCAGTGGCCAACACGCCAGGGAGTGACATGAAGGACTGAAATGTAACCTGGTGTTGGTAGAATCTCAGACTCAACGCTGCTGCTGCAACTCGTGATGTTTTTTTTTCTATCTTCAGCAAAGTCTGCCTGGCTTGGAAGCAAAACTCAGCAGGTTAATGAGCAATTTTATACGTCTCTTACTTTTGAAGGCAGCACTCCCATGCGTTTGCCTTTCCTCAGCAATGTGAGCTTCCTTGGAAGGGGGAAAGTCTTCAGCTCTCTAAAGCAACGCGTTTCTTACTACAGAGATGGCACTGATTTTTTCCTAGGGCGATCTGACAAACCTCGTGCATGGCAGTCACTGCTCCAAGTACAGACTGACGAGAATCCCAGGCACCAACGCCTTCGTGGGCATCGTCAACGAGACGTGCGATTCGCTCGCTTTCTGTGCCTGCAGCATGGTCGACAGGCTCTGCCTCAACTGCCACAGGTCAGCGGGGGACTGGGAAGGAATGGGCAGCTCCAGGCATTTACTGCTTCCCTCTCTCTTGAGTCAAGGTTTATAAAAACACCTGATTTTGTAAGCTAAAGCAAAACACACGGCGCAAAAACGAAGCAAAACAAAATAGTTGCCTCACTTCTGCTGTTTGTAAGAGGCATGGCGACCTAGCACACCTCAGACGCTTTGCCATGCGGTCAGTGTGTCAAAGCACAGGGGAGTTTGTTCCTGCCACGTTTGGGTAGATAATGTTAAAAGACGGCGACAGATTCAGTTTCTCGGGCACAGTTACCTGTGCATCAAGCCCTTTGCTCCGGCGTGTCAACACCCACGATTTAACGTGGATTGACAGTTTTTCATCAAGGGGATCCTGGTGCTCGTGGCAGATATTTGCCCGTGCTGGTGTCGTTATGTGTGTTTGCTGAGCTGGCAAGAAGGATCCTTGCATCTGGATCTGGGACTTGTCCAGGGGTTGTCTGCTTTTTAAATTTCAGGGGGTGCTATCAGCTCAGAGAGACTCCGTTATTACATTGTCTTCAGTCCCGGTGCAGAACTGAGCAATCCCTGTGTTCTGGGGGGATGGAGAATGGTTCTTCTCCATGAGGAGTTGGGGTTAAAGTCGTGCTGCAAGGTCTGATGGATTTTCTGTGTGCTTTCTGCCCCTGAAGAATGGAACAGAACGAGTGTGAGTGCCCTTGCGAGTGCCCTCTGGAGGTCAATGAATGTACCGGCAACCTCACCAACGCCGAGAGCAGGTGAGAACGAGCCTCCTGTAATGGAACAGCGTGTGACAGAAGCTAATTAACAAAATTACTTGCTTGTTCGTGCTAGCTTACAGGTGGTACAGGACAGAATAGACAGAGTTTTTAGTAGAGTTAAGCAGATGATAAGTAACGGGAAAAAATGATGCTTTTCATTGATTATGCTTTGGCTGCTTTTGTAACGCGAGGCTGTACTTGTTTCAATCTAGGAATCCAAGCTGTGAAGTTCATCAGGAGCCAATGACTTTCACAGCGATCGATCCGAGCCTGCAGGATGCTCTCCCGCAATGTATTAACACCCAGTGCAACCAGAGGACAGAGAGCGGGTAAAGTAGCCTTTTCCATCCCTCAAAATGTACCATGTTCTTCTGTTCTGAAGAAAAAAGAAGAGGTACGATGCCAGAGATACAGTAGCACACACCAACAGTGACATTTTGCTGCAGCGCAGAAGCCGCTGATCTCAGCGTTCCCGTTTGAGTCACATAACATCAGTAATAGCAAACAAATGGCTCTCCCGTCACACTCGGTGACACTGAGAACCGAGGGGTTTGGAAGTGGAAGATTTCCCTCGAAAGGATGTCGAGCTCTTTAGCAAAGTGGACGGTGCTGCTGTGTCTGTCTGCCTGCTGGAGAAGCGCGTGGAGGAAAGCGCTCCCCAAAAGCAGGCGGTATTTTGCGGTGGTGACTTTGGAGCACATTCGAGGTGGCAGCTGCCTGCCAGCTTCTAGTTTCCTGCTTCTCTGTTCTACTCCTGGCATTACGTAGAGAAGCTTGAGAGTTTGTTGTTTTGCTAGTTACGAGCGGTCTCCGGGGAACTGCTGGAACATACCGTGCTCTGACCAGACTTTGCAAATCCTTTCTTCCATCTTTCAAAGCACTGCAAAAAAAGGGTGGAACCGTAGTCAAACTTCACCATGCTGAGAAACGGTTTATTGGAGGAGTTACAAGTAGGAAGTTCTGCCTTTGTTTCCCTGGGCAACTTCCCTTGGGGCACTTTTAATCAGATTTTTGTGGCCAGACGTGATGTATGTGAGGGTTCACGATGATCAGCCACTCTCTGTCTCATGATTCCAAAACAGACCGAGCAGTGCCCAATGAGAAGTGTTGGACCTGAGAACAAATGCGATCTCCTTTCCTTTGTGATTTTTTTCAGGGATTGTTTCGGTGTGTTGGACTGCGAGTGGTGTATGGTAGACAGCGATGGGAAGACCCACCTGGATAAGTCCTATTGTGCCCCTCAGAAGGAGTGCTTCGGTGGCATTGTGGGAGCGAAGAGCCCGTACGTGGATGATTTGGGAGCAATAGGTAACTCGGCCTTTCTGAGCATTTATCTGCCTGTATTCAACAACGTGCACCCTCCGTGTCAGAACATGCTTATGCTAGTGGTAAATCTGCACAAATAGTGCATTGAGCAGTGAAAAAGTAGCATCAGGCCTGTTGTGGGTATTCCATCTTGGAGGATATTGATGCGTAGCTGAGTGTGGCTATACGTTCCTGCTTTTAAGATTTACCCTCTCAGAATGGATTTTAATTGAAGGAGAATGGGTTTAGACTGGATCTTAAAAAGAAATTCTTCAGTGTGAGGGCGGCAAGACTCTGGACTGGGTTGCCCAGAGAGGCTGTGGCTGCCCCCTCCCTGGAGATGTTCAAGGCCAGATTGGATGAACCTGGAGCAACCTGGGCTGGTTAAGGGAGGTTGGGTGAGATGATCTCTAAGGTCCCTTCTAACCTAAGACATTCTGTGATTCTATGAATTTCTTCTATTTAAAAGTGCTGTCGTGCATGTGCGCAATTACACACCTAGAAAGCCATCGAACATCTTCTCTAATCTTCAGTTTTAAACCTTTCTGCAAAGTATTTACAGTTGGTTCTTTTTTCCCGTCTGATTTAGGAGATGAGGTGATCACTCTGAACATGATCAAAAGTGCACCAGTAGGTCCCGTGGCCGGAGGCATTATGGGCTGCATTATGGTGCTGGTCCTAGCAGTGTACGCGTATCGTCACCAGATACATCGGAGGAGTCACCAGCACATGTCACCTCTGGCTGCCCAGGGTGAGCTGATAACTTTTGAGAGAGAAATAGGAGGGTGGGAATTTAAAAAAAATATATACAAAAAACCCCACCCCACAGCACAAAACCAAACAAAAAAAAAAATCCAGAACCTTTTTTCCTTGATTTTGTTTCAAGGATTCCCCCTATTTTATTTTATTTCTCTCCTGACAAGTCTTATAAAAGTTGTCTTGTTCTGGGTGCTTGTGCATGGCTGCCCTCTCCTGGGTGCAGCCAGACCTGCTGCCACCCAAGGAGACTATCCAAAAACTATAACCTGCCGTTCTCATCGGGAAGCAGAATTTATGCTTTTTCTAAAGCTGAAACGACAAGCCCAGCTTCACAGCTTTCTGGACCTTGTCACAGCACAGCGATCGCGTGCATTTATTTCTGGACAGGAGCAGTGTTTCTGGGAATATTACAATTTTCACATCCTTTCCACTTGGGCTATTAGGGATGTGTCTTTTGTTACTTATGTTCTCTGCTCCTGATCCCTGTGATGCTCATGGGGCGTCTCTACATAGATAAAGCCTCTGGAGGCCGAGAGACACAACTGTATTTGGGAGAAGGGATACTGTAGAAAGATAAGGAGGTGAGAAGTGGGATCAGGGCTAATTACCTCTGTATTTGATTATGGCCTGGCTCTGTTTTGAATCGGTTCACTTTGGAATCTATCCTTCTATGATTCTGTGACTTCCTTCAAGCCTGTGCCTTTCAGGAGGAGGTGGGGGTGTCTTGCTTTCCCAGTATCTCTAACCCCACTTATCTTGGAAAAAGAGCACAGCAAGCTCGGACTGCATCTCTTCGCACAGTAACACAAAGTGCTTCCGCTGTATGACCAGGGCGACAGCCGTTAGTAAGATGATCCAAAATTTTTCTCTTAACAGTTGCATTTTTCTGTTTGTAATGGTGTGTAGAAATGTCAGTGCGTATGTCGAACCTGGAAAATGATAGGGACGAGAGAGACGATGACAGCCATGAAGACAGGGGAATCAGTAAGTACCAAATCACTTTGCTGTAAAAAAAAAAAAAAACGGAAAAAAAAAGGTTAGATTAAATGAGCCATTTGTTTTCTTAATGCGCTAAAAATTAAAAATAATGTGAGGAAGCCCTGTGCTGATTAGCAGTAGAAAATTTTAACTTGAACTGTAACTTCCAGCACACCTTTATTCTCATGCTGAAAAATTACAATTTTTATTTTTAAAAGACTGATCTTGATTATGTATGGAGGAGGTTTGCCCCTTATGCTCCCCCTATCATGACCCCTTCCAGAAATAGCTCTGATGAGCTTAAAAATTGCACTTGTGGTACAGGGTATGGAAAACTTGGAAAGCAGCCTTGGAAAGCAGAGGCCAAGTCTGGCATGTAGGTCCAACCAATGTGGCAGTAAGTCTTATTTGCGTTCATTTGGGATGCTTGTACTTCTTTATCGTTCAGTTAAAATGGCACTTTGCACATGGTGCTGGAGTTCTGTAAGATGAGCCGGTGCACCTAAACTCTGAGAGAGCTCCAGAGCCAGACCAGATCCCTGTCTCTGGGCCCTTGCTAAAACAGAACTAAAACAATACCCAAGATTTGAAACTACGTTGACACTCAAAACTTGATGAATAAGCATATCTGAGTTTCATGGCTTGCATCTACTGCTTCTCCAAATCCTTTATAGTTTAATTTTGAGTCGGCTTTCAGTGCTGCCACGGGTTCTTTAGCATTGGCACGGTAATTCTCCTAACTTCTATCAATCCAAGCAGATGAGGTGAATGAATTCGACTGGATCTTCATCTCTTTCCATGGTCAAACACCATCTCTTTACTCCTGCTCCTCTGCCGTTTGATAGCCTTCTTTTAAGAAGTAGTATTCGAGAAGAATTAGTTTGCAGAAACCCCGTTCCCCTGTGCCCGCTTTGTTCCACTGATCCAATTCTGTACGAGCACTTTCTTTAAAACCCATTGTCTCTTTCTCTCTTCCCCAGTCAGTAACACTCGATTCATCGCAGCGGTGATAGAGCGGCACGCCCACAGCCCCGAACGCAGACGCCGCTACTGGGGGCGATCGGGAACGGAGAGCGACCACGGTAAGACCTTGAATCGCTGCCCTGGCCCCAGGTTAATGATCATAGAATCACAGAACCATTCAGGTTGGAAGAGACCCCTGGGATCATCGAGTCCAGCCATTGACCCAACTCTACAAAGCTGCCCCCTAAACCGTCGCCCCCAACACCACATCTAAACGACCTTTAAACACCTCCAGGAATGGGGATTCCACCACCTCTCTGGGCAGCCTGTGCCGATGGCTGACTGCTCATTCTGTGAAAAATTTCTCCTACTGCCCAGTGTAACCCTGCCCTGTTGCAGTTTGAAGCCGTTCCCTCTTGTTCTATCACTAATTACCTGTGAGAAGAGATCAGCACCAGCCTCCCTACAACATCCTGTCAGGCAGTTGCAGAGAGTGAGGAGGTCTCCCCTCAGCCTCCTCTTCTTCAAACCCAACAGCCCCAGCTCCTTCCATCGCTCTTCATGAGACTTACTCTCCAGGCCCTTCCCCAGCTCCATCGCCCTCCTCTGCACTTGCTGCAGCCCCTCAAGATCTCTCGTATTGAGGTGCCAAAATATTTAATGTGTGGCCTCACCAGTGCCGAGTAGAGGGGGACAATCCCCTCCCTACTCCTGCTGGTCACGCTGTTTCTAACACAGGCCAGGATGCCATTGGCCTTCTTGGGCACTGGGGCCCACTGCTGGCTCCTGTTCAGCCGCTTGTTGATGAGATGATGGTGGTTACTGGGTGCCTGGCACAATGCAGATGAGGCTGCCAAGACCAAAACACACCAAAACAAAACACCTTTGCTCCTTTCCTGCTTCACAGTTTGACACCCTTCAGCAGGTGATAGTGCCCAGCGAGGGCTTTTGTCAGAGCGGTAATGTAGCAGCAGCTAAACGCCGTGCTCCACCCTCTCTGACTCGGGTTCTGCCAGCTTCGCTGGGTGACCAGAATTCAGCTCGACAGAATTGAGACTACATTTACCACGCTCTAACCCTAACAATCTACATGTTTAGTTGAGGTAATAGACCTTTCTTACTTTGTGAGAGAAAACAAATCTCTTGCAATCAAGCCAGCAGTGTCTCCATGGCTCCACTCTTTGCCATGACATGCACGTCTTTCCTAAAATTCTAGCAGCATGTGCTGGATACCTGCTTTTGCTGGGGGAAAGTAAGCATGGACGTAGAGACTGATGTGTCAGGTGCCTCCTTAGCCTTCCTCAGTCTGTGCCATCACCATATGAGACATCTCACATCACCTGGAAGCAAAAAACAATCAACATTAACTGTGTGCATGTGTACAAAGGGTACTTGGCCATCTATACTTGCCACACACACAGCCCTGTTTGGGTTCAGGGAATTTTGATGCGTCTCATGCCCTGAGACTAAGTCTTCTTAAATCTGGGAAGCTGTTAGAAGGGTGTAATGCTGTTGAGTCATGAGGAGGCTTATTCGAAATTAAGAGGAGGGTTAGCCGAGGCAGATGTCAGCTCTAGCTGCATGTGATGGTGGCTGGGTACGTTGCAGCAGAGCCATTCAATTATTAAGACAGTGGCTGCGCTAATGGAATTGCCGAGGGACAGGAAATCTGAAGGCCAGAGCCTTGGAACGTGGGTGGACAGATGTCTGAGAGACAATCTTGCTCTAGGAGGAATTACCCAGGATTTGGGGCCAGATTACCTGTGCTGAGGCAGATTTGCTGGGCTAATGCTCCTTTTGCTCTATTTCTCATCATCCTAGCGAGTCCTTCCCATCTTCCCAGACAGCACGTCAGGGTTAGCAGGGTGACTGGCTACCTAGCTCTGAAATGCACGCTTCTATTTTTACTTTCTGTAATTTCATCTTCTTCAAAGGGCTGCCCAGTCATCTTCCCCAATTCCTCTCTGCCGGCTAGAAACCATGACTCAGGCCACGGGAAATAAGAAACCAGCTTTGGGTACTTAGCCTGACGTTTTTAACACACTTCCTTTAGGTGTCTCAAAACCCGACCAAGATGCTCTGAAGCTCAAAAGTTTTCTGAGGATTATTTTTCTGATTAAAGCAAGATCTCCTTCTTTTTAAATTCTGCTTGTGTTTTTGCATTTAGCAATATTGGGCTGGTTTTGTTTGTACTGTGGCCTGGTTTTGAGTGGTAACAGCTGGTTTCAGGGGTAAATCCGAATCTCATAGTAACTACCAGCACCTGCTTCAAAAATGAAAGGGACAGAAAATATGTGAGAGACCTGTTAGGAGGCAGCTTCCTCGCTGAGAGAGCACAAATCTTGTCTTGCAAGGGTTAGCTGTTAGCTGGCTTTGGAGTGACATAATTCCTTAGGATATCCCAGTGAATGTGATGTCTCATTACCCCTAGAGATGGCTGCTCTGTTCGGTTTTTTTGTTTTTTTTTTTACTTCTCAGCCACCAGTAGCAGATATTTTAGCCTAAGAGGAGCCTTGAAGTAATTGCACAACATGTGTGCTTAGCTGGAAGTGTCAGAACCCTTTAGCTTAATGGACCTGCTCCGTAGAACACTTCCCATGCAGGTTTGATAGGTTTCTTAAACTGTATGGAAAGCTCCCCAGCATTGAAAAAATACGCTTTGTTTTTTGCAAATAGCCCCTCGTGGGTGAAAAGTGCTCCTTCCTTTTGAAAATACAGCGCTGCGATTGTACAACAAGATGATGCGAAGAGGTGTTGCTGGAATCCTTCCTAGGTGGTGGATCCCACCTATTTCTTGTCTGTTTGTAAAAATCTGAGTAATATCCTCAAAGTTAGCGCTCCCTCCAAAATGTCCATTACAATTTGGTTTTCAAATCAGTGCTAGCAGTTCTACCGTAACAAAGCGTTGAAGGCGTGGTTGGTTTTGGCTCTTTGGGGTGGTGCAGACTGTAGATCCCCAAAAGTTATAAACAAAGCCGGTGACAGGAAAGGGGATCCATAGGAGTGGAGGGTTTGGTTTGGGGTTTTTCTCCCTTTTCAGTAAAGAAAATTAATTGGTTTATTCTCTCGAAAGCACTGACTGCCTGATTCCGTGATGGGCGCAGCAGTCAGCACCGTGGAATACTGACCTTTTAGCCTTGCTTTTAATTCTTCGTCTCCTGGATTTATTTTCTAGGCTACAGCACTATGAGTCCTCAGGAGGACAGCGAGAACCCTCCGTGCAACAACGACCCGTTGTCGGCCGGAGTTGACGTGGGAAACCACGATGAAGACTTAGACCTGGACACGCCGCCTCAAACCGCTGCCCTGCTGAGTCACAAGTTTCACCACTACCGGTTGCACCACCCGACCCTTCACCACAGCCACCACTTACAGGCCGCCGTCACGGTACACACGGTGGACGCAGAATGCTAATGAATGACGACAAAGCAACGTGAACTCGCGAACAGTAAAAATCCATGCAGCAACAGGGTGGCTCCGTGGCGGTGCTTCACACCGGGAACAGTTTAAGTAACTTTCTGAGTTTAGGCGCAAGAGCTTTACGTTTTCATAAAGGTAAGGTTGGCTCCGTAACAGAAGGGAAACGTGCTTGATGAATGGACCTGCCATAACGTGGAATAAAATAGAGCAGGAGGCACATTAGACCTTCAGAAAGAGGGACGTGAGTTTAAGCAGCAGCTGAAACTTCGTAAGCCCTGTTACACTGAGCCAAGAGGAGAGAGCGAGGTTGAAAGAGCCAGAGCTGATTTCGTATCCTTAACTGGAAGAGCAGAAATCTGTGCAGCTGAAGACTAAGAACGTGCCAGCTGGAGGAGGCGGGACGGGGGAAAGGCTGTCGGTTCCTCTGCGGTTCGCTTTGTGCGTAGAAAGTTCACTGCTCCGACGATTGCTGTATGGAACCTGGGACAATGCATCTCAAGATTTTTAAGTAAAGGATTATTTTTCTACTATTTATTGAACTTGAAACTTTGGGGGGACGGGGGGAGGGAGGGGAGAAAACATGTTAGTAATTCTCAACCGCTACCACATATATTCTGTGATGGTGATGAAGACCTCTGTTTCTTATTAGCTGATAGTCATCCACTGCCCCGCTCTGCAAAAGGGAAAATGAAGAAGTCATTTCTGACAAGTTTACATGAGGAATGCTTTCATTTCCACAATTGTTTTCTGTAAATGTTACAACCTCATTTATAGTACAGTGTTTTCTTCCTGTTTGCAGAGAAGAAGCCCTGTACTCCGTTACTAAAATTCTGAGAATTCTGCCCATAAACCTCTCCATCTTTACCTCTTCGATCTTCCTTAAAGGTTTCCTGTGCGGAAGTAATAAAAAATTGATTTAGCATTACTTATCAGCTAATTCCAAATGACATCTGTGCCATTCTTCTGTTTCCTTAGGACCCTGTCAAGGTCAGAAGTGGAGGGATAAACCAGTGTTTTGTAAAACTTGAGTTACTGTGGAAGTTATCTTTTTAAAATCGTAATTATAAGCTGCTGCTGCCGTTTGTCTGGAATTTTAACATGGCTTGGGAATTCAAACGGAGATTAATCAATCTGTCTACAACATGGGGCATCGTAATTATAAATTAGTTTTAAATCACAGTGTTGTATTTTAGATTCACATTTCATGATTACAATGATATAAAAACATTCTTGCACTGTGCGTATGATAAACATCCATTTATATGTAGGGTTGTTTTTTTTTTTAAATCACGTGTTTTAATTAATATGGTACTTAATACTGTATTATGTAAAAAAGAAATTGGTTCTTAAACAGTACGGTAAAATAACTATATGTGTGATACCAGGATACCCCTTTATACTATGTATAAAATTAAAATCTCTAGTGAAATAAACTGTATATAAAGTATAGTTCAGTGGATAACTGGCTAGATTGAAATTATTCTTGTCTCAGTTGCATTTCATTTTCTGGCTGAGTGAGTGCTGTACCAGGAATGAAACTTTTGGTCAGATTCCAATAGTTTTATCATCAATCTTGACATATCTAAACTTTACATATAAATGGCAAAATTGATGTATGTTTTAAAGTTTGTTGTTGGTTGGGGGTTTTTTAGCTTTGCAGTCATTATTAGGGAATTGAACATTTCTGGAGGCAGTCAGCCACTGCATAGACTCACCAAAGCCAGGAATTTGTGGGGTTTTTTCTACCAAAACTTTGGTTGCACTGGAATTGTCATTTTGCTTTGTTTGTGTAGCGTTGGATAATGTTTTTTTGCCAACCAGGCAGCTGTAGAGATCTATTAAGTGCCGCTTTATGCTCTCAGAGATCTGCATCTCATGCCCTGTAAAAGTTTGAGTGTCGATCTGTAGACCCAATTTGCTGGACTTTCTAATTTTGATTCCAAAATAGTGCTGTTTGTTGGGCAAGCTGGCTGTTTTGTCAGATTTGCCTGTAGAAGAAAACGTATTATTTTAATGTTACTGCTAGACCAAGGAACAATATACCCAGCCAAGAAGCAGAATTTTTAAGCATAAAGTTTCAGCATGGAAACTGTTCAGCTATATGGAAGTTTTAATAACAGTTTGTGTGAAGCATCAGACGAGATGCTTTGCTGATTTCCTAGTCTTACAGAACTCATAAAAGTGCTCTCACCAAAATTCAGAGGTAAATCAGATTTGAAGTTGTAGCTAGGACCGTTTTTCTTCGAGTCTGTGAATGTAACACAGAAGCTGGAATTCAGCCAAAAGCTGTTGCCATGTGACCAAAGCATCTGTGGAAGTTCCTGGCTTGTAAAGTGGAATTTGAATGATATTTTGCCCATCTACATACACATGAAGGAATCTCACTCTGCAGCAGAAGTTCTTGACCTTGTAGATTTGCTGCCCGGTTGTAGTTGATATCAAGCAACATCAGAATAGTCTCCTTGCATATAAAATAATATAAACAGACATAAGGAAAAGCACGGCATTGGCTTGATCTGCACTTTCCTGCCTGCTCTGGCGTTGATGTTAACCTCAAGCAGATAAGGCCACGGAGCACAGTTTTGGTGAGAAACAAGTCGTTAAGTCCAGCTCTAATTAAACCACAGTGTTAAACACAGGTTGCCTGTATACATTTATTAACCCACAGTGGCATAGTCTCTGCTACTTTTTTATAGTGGGAGAAACTACTCTTGCTCAAAAAGAAAGTAATAGGAATAAGCACATACATTGTAAAATGCAGTAATATTAATTACTTTCTTAACTACAATACTGTTTCAGTGGAGGGAGTTTTTTGTCCTTCACATTATGGGCCGGGCAAAAACTGCTTGCAGTGTTCTCCTGCAGCCCTGCCAGAAAGCCAAGTGTTGCAGAGCAGCTCTCTTCAAACAGCCGTCAAAAGTCACAGCAACCAAACCACACTTTGCTTTCACCTTTATGAGCTTTTGCAGAGAGCGGCTGCTCCGTCACTTCTGTTCTGGGACATACAGGCTGTTCTGGATTCTTGGAGTCCCTACAACCTTGCTTAGGCTTGATGTAATGAGAAGAGTGAAAGTTCGTTATTAAGGAATAGTTACGGGCAAAGCGCAGATCTAGAGGTGTGCCAGATCACAGCTTCAAAAGCTGACAGCTAGCCTTGTCCCAGCAGGAGTAAATGCCATGCTGGTAGATTTCCTGTGTTCATTTAAAACAAAACCTGATAATGGAAGTAATCGAGGTTTCTAAGCTCTTCCACTTTTATTGCCCGTGTTGCTGCCACGGCCTTCCCTCCCTGTTTTATTTTACTGAGGAGCAAGATCATAAAATGAGCAGTTGGACTCGTACCCTGTATCCTCCTTACCTTTAACTCGTCGACTTCATGGCTGTTAATCTTCCACTTGTTTCATTTCTGAACCGTAGCTGTATTACTTTCCTATGGGTTTTCTTTCATTCTTCCAGAAAAAGTTCTTTTGAAATGAAAATGAGCAGTGTCTTTGGTGTGTGTTCACTAATGTTAAATTGACTCTGTGCTTCCAGTATTTGAGTGCTCTGAGGCTTCTTGATTTTTCCAATACGTAGCAAGCAGGTCCTCCGTCCTCGTAACCCTGCTGACCTGCCCAGAGAGAAGTTGTTTACATGCTCAGAATATATTGCCCAAGAATTGAATTAAGGCTTTTGTTTTTATTTGCTTACACTATTGCCTTGATTAAAAAATGTGATTTGGAAAGAAGAGTATGTTAAAATTTGCCCGTGAACATTTTATAAGGGCGCTTAAGCCATGAAATATTATCTTTACCCTTGCCCTTGGCAATGAGAAGACAGAATTCATGAGATGTTCCCATGTGCAGCAGTAGTTGTGACTATAACTGGTCAAAACGAGGTCTCCAGCTTTCAAAGGCTTTATTCTGTAAAGTGACCCAGAAATGGTGATGAGGACAGAAAGCATATATGCCAGAAGACGAATTATGGTAGTGAGCTGGCAGCAAATATGGAAAAGCAGGCAAAAAATAGGACGCAGAAGTCCTGGAGCAAGTTAAGAGCACAGGTAATCTGACAGCCTGTATGCAAGTGCAAAGATTAATTTGTGGCGTTCATAGCTCTTGGCTCCTCATTTCATTTGTTTCTAAAAAGAATCCCATCTATGGCTGGGGTTTTCAAAGGAGCCTGAACTAAGCTTTCAGTGATGTTTGGAATATTAATTCCTGCAGCAGTTAATTTGGTAATTATTGGGTTATTTTGCTGTGCAGTCCCCCGGTTTGCCACGAACCCGAACTTTGAAAAAGTAATATAAGTGCCACAGAGCATTTCATAGGACTTCTTCAGAGCACTTCTGCGTGGTGAGAGGTAATTATTTTCTCTACTTTATGCGCTCTGAAATGAGTCACTGAAGGACCTTGGCCCAGAAGGGCTCGTGTTTCTGAAGCCAAGGCTACAGTGGAATTTAGACGCTCAAGTCCAAGAGTGAAGTCCTCCAAGCCCTGCCTCGTTAGCGAGGTGCCAAACATAACTGGTGTGTTGGCCAGCGCATGCGCAGGAACGCTGGCGCTCACGTCTCTGTCAAAGAGCCTGATGCTTCCCTGCCTCTGCACCATTTATCCCTCTGCTTTTTCTTCTTTTGAAGTTGTGCGATGCAGATCCTCTGCCTGCGAACCCAAAGGAGCCTGAACTGGCAGAAATTCAGAGCGTATCAAATGCCACCTGAGAACAGGGGTTTCCCAAGTGAGTCGCTGACTGTGTGGCAGCGTGCTTACTGCTTGTCTGCCCCACTCCAGGAAAAAGCCAGATCATTCTACCTCTCTTCTGCAAACCTCCAGTGAGATTTTCAGTAAGCAGTTCATCTAATAATAATTAAAGGAAAATTTAAAAGTCTGAAGTCAAAGAAAGAATTTCCTCCAAACCGTTCAACCAAGGCTTTTGCTGTAATTCAACACAATTTAATGCCCATCAGAACGTGGCACTTGATACCAGCAATAGCAATGGCCTGAGCAGAAGAGGAGCAGGAATTTGATGGCAGAGGCAGAATGTGTTAGATCTGGAAATTTCTCCTTCAGCTCATGGGTGAATCACGGTGGCCTCGTCTAAATGCTGTGGAAAAAATTTACTGTTTTTCTCCCTGGGCTGGTTTCATTAGTGGTAGCAGTAGGTGGGACTGCTCTCAGAAGCCAGAGCCAGCAGTAACAATTATGTTTT